AAGTTGAAACCTCTACTAGTGATAATGGCTTCTCTAATTGATTTTAATGTTTAATAACTTACTTTCCTTTAATTTGGACACTGGTTATTACCCAAATTCATAAAGAAAGAAAATTATTTACTTTGAATTTCTTTAGATTTTTCATACTTATTTATAGAACAGGGGATTTTTGAAGTTAATAAAACTTCTTTAGCCACGTTTTGTACTTTTTTTGTGGAGAGTGAATTAGATTGAGCCGTCAGATCTCCAATGTGTAATGCTCGAATAGAGTCGACTAATTGAAGTGTTTTTGCAGATGGGTTGCAAATATCTCAAAAACTAAAAATCGGGAATATATACAGTAAGCATGGGAATTGTTCAGCATTTCATCCTCTCTGTAATGGGATATTATTCAAAATTGTATCTTAACACGATGCCATGTTAGTGAGGCGAAAAGGGAAAAAAAAATGATAACAAGTTTCATGGAAGATATGGATTATAATATCTCTGAAACTAAAAATCGGACCTGAATACTGTAAGCAAGGGAAATGTTCAGTATTTCATACTCTTTATAATGAGTTATTATTTATTATTTACATTTCATATTATTAATCTCACCTTGTTGATGTTTTTTCACTTCTGTCGTGTGGTCTAAAGCACACACCTAATTTTTTTTTTTTTTTTATCAAGATTTCAACATTTTCAGAATTGCTTCCAAATCTTTTTTGGAATACATTCTATTTTACTTAAAACAAAAGTACTAAACGTATGATAAAAATCTCATAATGACCCTTCCCCACATATTTATGAAAGTAGTGTATTTAAACAAATCCCCATAGACTATATAAGCACACGTATTTAGCTCACAAATGTGAAATATAAATTTCTCAACTTATCTATATTTTATGGAGGGTTTTATAAGATGTTCTGTTGTTAGTGATTGTCTGAGAATTTTTTAGCCAATTGTTGGTATTTTTTATTATTATTATCATGTTTTATATTATCAAAATGAACTGATTGAATTGAAAATTATAATTTGACTTTGAAAAAATGGTACTTCTCCTGAAACACATCTTTAGATAATTATTATTTTTTAGGTATTTTCCACATGTTGTGAGACATGTTATAACTACTGTACTTCCTAAACGTTTTTCTATTGAGTGAGTTAATTAATTTTTAAATCCTTTGGATTTATCTTTTGTTTTTGATCTTGTAGTTGTTGTTTTTTTTACTCTTTCCACTCAATTTTTTTTCAGCACCGAAGACTTACTGCATGTATTTTTTTTTCTGGAATTTTACAGTCATACATTGTTTGAAGCATTATGCACAAATTTGGACTATGTTTATTATAGAATATTGTAAATTTATTTATAAGAAATATATATGCTACATAAGAGTAATAGGTCATTAAAGTGACTGGAGAAATGCCCTTTAGTAGCTCACCAATGACTGTTTTTTGTAAATTTATGAGAGTGTTTTGTTATCTGACTCCTTAAATGATATCAAAACATCATTATTTATTATTTAGGTAGTAGTTTTTTTAATTGTTCAGATCAAAATGGATTTTCTGGTAACTATTTATTTTATACCATCTCAAGGTTTGAAATGCCTCTTATTTCCAACTAAATTAAAATCAACTATTTTCTTGCCAATTGAATTTTTTAAAATAATATTTATCATTTATAATAAAATCCTGTTCTCTGTTTTAAGGGGAAATAAAGTAAAAGATTAATGTTTTACTTATATTTACTTTTAATAGACTAGAATTTCTTTTTTTTTTTTTCATAATTTCTTTATTGAGATATATTACAATCTGTCACATCTAAGGACAATAGTAATAGTAATATAAGAGTAGATCATTCAAACTATGCACAATAAATAACAGTCAAATAATAGTACTGAAAGTAAATGTATATATACTAAAAGAAACTAAACTACGTGTGGCAGGTGATAGCACAACTGAACATTGAATTAGTGCAGATCTGCTCAGTATAATGTTATCATGTAGTTACTTGAAGCCAAAGCACAACTACCTGATGACTAGGCTATGGTCGCGATCCGCTTCTGGACTACTCGAATCACCGCAGCTGTTTCCAAATTGGATTATTTTTTTAGCTTCTCAGAACTCTCGTTGCCATTGGTCTATTATAATATTTGTTTAACCAAAATACTCATCTGTTTTACATAATCACTATAAACATATATGACCCTAAAGTTTTCTATCTTAGAGATAATTTAATGTTGAATAAAAAAGTTTTTAGTGTATCTGAAAATGTTTTAATAAAGAATGGGAAAAAAAGATTAAAAAACTACTGATATACTATGGTAATGACCCTCAATAATAGGTCTGTAATACATTCAACAAAAATATAAAAGTAATGGCATGGTGAAAATCTCAGATCGCTATGGACATATTTGGTTATTCATAAAATAAGACCAGAGGACATTTGAACCTTATTTTGCTTTCCTGCCTATAATAGCTAAGGAAAGTATTGCGATTGGGTCAAATTTCTGAGGTGCTTTTTTTCGGTGGATCTATATATTTCATAGCCTCCTGAGTAAGAAAAACATTTTCAGCTATTGGTCTGTCTATTCCTATTATTATTTTTATAGTAAAAATTATTGTCTGACAAAATTGGACTATTACAAAAAAGGCTTTTGATTAGCAGTGTTAGAGTGTATTGAATTTTTTATGCTGATCTTCCACAAGCCAGTTTACATTGCTTTAGTTTATCAAAGAAATCGTACTCAAATCTTTTCTTTGATCAATTTTCAGGAAAATAAATTTAATTCAAATTTTTTTTTTTTTTTTTTTTTTTAATGACTTATTTAGAGATATAAAAACATTTCTGAAATCGGTTGGAAAGTCGTGTGAGTGGACACATCAGATTTTTAATTATTTGATGCAAATATTGATATTGAAGCTATGAACATTATCTTCTTTTTTTTTTTTTTTTGTTTGTACAGGTTTAAGTTTGGCCCTTTTTCCCTTTTTTAAGGTTGTTAAGCTTTATATCTTTGATTTTTTTTTTCTTGTGCATGGCTAAGTAGTTGTGATAAACGAATCCATTTTTAGCACAATGAATTAATTTCATTATTACAATTATGTTTCTGTTTATGTATACTTTCTTTTTTTTTTTTTTGTTTCCTACAGAGATGCTGAGAAGTATAATCCTTACATATCAGCAGAACGTCAAATGCTCGAATTATTTGGCACAGATGATGGGAAAGGAAAAACCTCTCTTCCTGAAATCCATCATTCCTCCCCTATCCAGTCTTCCCCAATATCTGCCTTTGTCAAATATTCGTCTCCCAAAAGAGCTCCTTCTATCGAAAGTTTAAAATATGACAATAAAGAAAACAATAATCTGAATCCTGAAGTTATAGATTTTCCTCCTGTTGAAGATAAAATCGATAATCGTAAAAATTTTAGTTTGAGCAATCTCAGCCTTTGTTCAGTCGTCAGTATTGATTCCATCGACTGCAACAAAAATTCATTCAATTCTAAACTGTCAGATAGCCATTTAGATGATTTCCAAAGATCTTTTTCTGCGATTGAACCAAAAACTAATAGAACTGTTGTTAAGCCTAAAGTAAATTTGCAACAAATGTTGTATGGATCACATACAATATCTCCTGGTGAAACTGCTCAGAGGGAAGGTAATAATAGTGATACAGACAATTTAGAAACTTGCGAAGCTGAATTGCTTATTTCTATGTTAGAATTTGAAAAAATGTTGAAATCCTCTCCCCCATCCTCCCCTGAAACATCACCTAACCTTTGTTCCAGTTCTTCACGGAAAGAGAAAGAGACTGATGAAGATGTGGAAAACAGAAACCATAAGTTTCTTAACAATAGTATCGACTCAGCCTATAGTAGGTCAGTATTAGAGTACATTTCTTATTTTTAACTAAGTGGCCTTAAAATCAATTTTATCATTTTAAAATAGAATACATTTTCCCAAATCTGATATCCCTGTTAGATCTATTAATGTAGCATTTAAGTATAGTTTGATGCCATTTTGTCATTATAGGAAGTATCATCTTTTGTGCCTAGCACTGTTGATTTTGTTTCTTATATCAGTTTTATCTAGTATGTTTGAGCTATAACCGATGTGAACAAATCATGCTATATAAGCCTCTTGGATATTAAGTGAAATTCTTTCTTCTCTGCTATGCTTGTTATGTAATCTCTCTCTAAGTTGAATAAAGAATTCTTTCAGTTCCTAAAGAGTAGCTCATCAATTTTTGTTTGATAAAACTAATAAGTCATAAATGAGCTAACCTCTTCATATGTTTGTTTACCAAAAACACAACAGTTTTTGAAATCATCTACCATATCATCATAGATGTTAGGCTTTGATTACTTTTGTGTTATTTTTCTCTCTTCCTTTGTCACTAAAGCCTGGTTCACACTCGTAGACATGTGCGATTTTTGTCTCTGAGACATGTCTCAATTTGTCTGCGTAGACATGTCTATAGACCGATTCCTGTCTACAGGCCTGTTGCGAGACCAAAAGTTACAGGCCTATAGTCTCTCGATCGTGTCTGTAAACCGTGGAGATAGTCTATAGACAAATCATGCAACAATGTATACTAGTGTGTGCTAGGCTTAATGGGCTAAGTTATACGGCTATTACAGAGATGAATATTCCTTTGTGAATCATGGGTTGAAATTCAAAAATTGAAATTGCACCTATGAAAATTCTTAGCTTCCAATTGGGTGTTCCATAAATATAATTTTTGGACACTCTGCATAGGTGCCACAGATATAATGATATTCCACCATATAGCTTTAACAAATCAATGTTCACATTTATTTATAATATAGATTAATTAATTATTTCCCTAAGATTAACAGTTTGCTTTCAATACTTAGTCTACAAATTATCATTATTATACAGTATAAATGTATCATAGATATAATTATTTAATTGTGTGTTGCATTGCATTTCAAATATTTTCAGCCAATAATTTATGGCAGAACTAGTTGTAATTTATTATACTTATGTTATTTGAATTTAAATAAAGGAGATATGATATGATGACAGTTTGACAAGGTCGAGTGGAGCTGAAGGAGACACCGGGAAGGTGGAAATGTCCAAGTTTTGCCATGAATGCGGTGCCAAGTACCCGATTGCTGGGGCGAAATTTTGCTGTAATTGTGGAATGCGTCGGATTACTTTATAGTGAATCCACAAGATTAGAGGTGTGGAAAATCGTTTCTTCTCAGCTGAAGAAGAGAAATCCCTTAAAACAATTAAGATGGAAATAAAACTTGTAGTATTTTAACTCTTCAAACTGTATAATGGTAAAATCTTTATTTTCTTAGGAATATTTCAGATGCTTTAATATTTAATTCAAGAGTGAAAAAAATACTTGAACTGATAACATTTTGTTTGTTTTTTAAAATCTTTTTAGTTCTGGAGCCCATGGCAAAAAGGTGTCATATTTCATAATAAGGTTTGTCCTTATAAATTGACCATATCCACAGACCAAATAAGAAAAATGCATGTCTGCCAGCATATATCATATATTTGAAGATAGATAGAGACTCTATATAGGTTGTTAGCGTATATATAGAGAGGGCTTATAGATATATAAAGCTACCAATCCTTTCAATTTATAGTTTTTATAGTCTTAAGACATGAAATAATAGTCAGTTATCCCTACCCAAGGATTTCAAGTCGAAAAATTGAATTTATGATTGAAAAAATTTACTTTTTTCGGTTTTTCACTTATATCAGTGAAACTATGCGTTCTTTCTATAATAATGTCATATGTGAAATTACAGTTGACAAAATTTGCATTAGAAATAGTTATATTAATTTTTCTCTCTATATTCTATAGTTTCCGTGATATCCGTCCTAGTAATACACAAATTTTGAAATAAAAAAAAAACTTTTTACATCGCATTTTTATCATTATTTGACTCACCAAGTCTTTATCTTTTCATTTTACAAAAAAGTCATGAGGAAGAAAGTTGTTAAATATTAAACTTTCTTCCTAGAATATGTATTACTTTACTGTCTTATCATAATCCATTCAAAGACTAGAGCAATTATAGCTTAATGATCAAACTCCGAAATTATACAGAATAACTTATTTTTCGTTATTACGCAGCTCTTAATCTGTATATAAGACAGTGTATATGTGTAATAACAAAAATTGTGAATAGTAAGTTATTCTGTATAGTTTTTGAGTTTAATCATTAAGTTATAATGACGTGCATTTTTCTCATCAGGCCTGTAAATATGATAAATTTATAAGGAAGAAGCTTAGTATGAAGTATGATACTTTTTTGCCACGGGTCCCGGACTATTTAGCCTATTTGAAGTTAAAGTAGTGAAACTAGTCTATTTTCTTTAAAAGTATTATTGGACATCGAAAAATTTAGTCCTAATAACTTAGTGGATTATTAAATTTTTATTTTTAATATTTGGAAATCAAATAAGCTCAGTAGATGTATATGTATTGTTAAAATTATTGAGCTTTATTGTACTTGCTTCAGCAGTACATATGCTAAAATTGGAATGAGGTCTTCATTGATCTTATTATTCACTGAAGTTGTTCTATTTTAAAATAACCTTAGCTAATCCATGATTTTTTTCTATGTTAAAATTTTATACCTCAAATATTTTATTAAATAATAATTAAATGGTTAAATTTACTCTTCCTGTTTACAAATATGTTTTAATGAATGATGTTAATTTTCTTTATTTGAATTTCATTTGTTGTAAACTTAAATTTTAGTTAATATTTTAATATTAAAAGGTATTTGTTCATGGAATTGGGATGTCAAACCATACCATTTCTTATGAAGTCTCTTACCTTAATGTTTCATTTAGGTAATCTGCATTAACTCCAGCACATTTTTTTAAACTATAATTTGCTCAATAGTTGGGCATTATTCATCTGGCTTGTTGAATAAATGTTTTGTACACATTTTCTGGAGAAAATTTTGAATTTAGTCATTGTTTTTATGTTAATGTAATGTCAGAGAATTAGAGGGTACTTTCACGAGAGGAATTGCAGCACTCTCATATCTAAATACAGCTAATCTTTAACATTCATTAAAATTTTAAAATTAAAATTAATTTTCATTAAAAATTAAAGAATGTATATATATTTAATACATACAATTATTTCATAAAGGTTTTATCTAACAGTAGAACGAGATCTGGTAGGGTCAATAGTTGCTTATATGAACCTTGTCTTACTGCATTAAGGCATTATTCCCCCACATTTTTTTTGTTTAGAATTTTTGTGATTTTGGTTTCTTCCTAAGTTATGCGCTAACTTATTTTTTATTTTGTTTCTTAATGTACAAGTCCTAAAAAAACAAAAAAAATAAAATAAAGAGTACATAAATATATTTTAAAAATCATATATTCCTGCCTCAATATTGGTAAAGATTAAAATTATTTCATATGTCTTTTGAATCAAATGACATTGTTGTTTAGTTCGAATAGATTATGTCCAATTTTAGTTTGTATCAGTTGTTTCTAATTAAATATGGTATTTTAAAATAATAAACATCTACCAATTTCTTTTACTGCCAGTATTTTTTTAAATAAGTTGAGTAATATTCATTGGTTTTTTAAAATTTTTAGTTTGAATTAGTCATTATAGGACATATATGACAAAATTAAACTGAGGCCGCTGTGATTATACTAATTGTTTTCCCTTTTCTATGAATTATTGAAATAGAATTTTTTGTTTTTTCTTCATAACATTTATGGTATCATACAATTATTGTTTTATATTTTAAATCTATAAACATTGTTATTTCTTTGTGTGTTTATGAGTATGTGAGTTCTGCTAATTATTTATTTTTCTATGATCAGCATTAATATGGTAATTAGTTTTTTTAAAAACATACTTAGTATAACTTCAGTCATTTATCATTCTCTGAGTAGTTGATTTTTTTTATAGGATTTCGATTTTAAAGATTAGTTTATTTTTGTTATTTTTTAAATATTTAGTTACTTAGTTATTATTCTTACTATTCTAAATATTAGGATAGTTCATTTTTTTTTTTTTTTCTTACACCGAACTGAACCTATAATATGTCAAACTGTATGAAATCCTTATGAAGGCATGCATCTCTAATAAATGATTTTTAAAGAATTGAAGTTCTGTTTCTAGAATTGTCATAACAGAGAATTTATTGATGTGCCTTCAAATAAAGTGCTGGGTTACTTGAAAATTAAGAAAACATTATTAAGTAATTAGCTGACTTTTATCACATTTTTCTCAATATTACTGGAAGCTTTTTCGTGAACTGTACAAAAGTTCTTTTCATCTTTCAGTGGCAAAATTTATCCCCTTAACAATTTCAAAATGTTTGCATGAAAGTATATAGATGATTTTATGAATTCATTACAGTAATAAGTGAAATGAATTCAGTTTGAGATTCAACATTTTTCTTTAATAAGTGGCAATTTCATTTTGATATATTGAAAATTCTTTTGTGAGAACATTTTTAATTTATAGAAGTTTATTTTTTTACTTTCATACATCTCTCTTTGTTAACCTTCCTTCCGTTTTTTTGTAAATGTTGTTTATTTGTTTAGTCCTCGTCTCAATTCTTTATTCTAGTAATATCATTCTTTCTTCTTCCTTGTTATACCTGAGACTGATTTTGTGGTTATCAATTTATTATTAAATTAAAGATAATGCAACAAAAATTTTATTAAAAGAGATTTGAAAAAAATTCAAACCAAAATAGAAACTGGTTTTCACTTAACCAGAATTGAATTAATTATTTAGTTCAACATTCATTTTATTTATGCCTACATGATTTTAGATGTGTAGTATTGTATTGTAAGTAACTTCATTATAATGTTGCAGGTGCGTTTAACTATATAGATAAAATATATTAATTTATTTTAATTAAAACAATTATAATTGAGTGTATATCTGAATGGATACATACTGATATGGAAATAATCAATCACTGTGTCATAGTCCGTGATACAGACTCCATTTTATCAAATTATTAACATCCCCTAAAATTTCGTGAATGACTTCTCTACATTTTTTTTTTTTTCCTACTAAAATACACCGAAATGAGGTGTTTTCTCATAAAATTGATTTAATGAGGTACTAAAAACTCATAATTGTGTACACTTACCTACTGAGCTGATTTACATCAGTAATGTTTGCTGGATGATCTATCACCTATTTATGCACTTGGTAACTTTTATTTCTAAAAAACAGAAATATAATTTTCTGTACGATATGTTGAAGAATGCGCTACTTAATAAATTGACGCTGGATTTCAAATAACTTTCATACATTTTACCAAATATATAGCACAGTAGATAATGATTGAGAGGAATTACAACTGCACCAAAGTGGCTTTAAATGTGCGTTAGTATTTACATTTTCTCTTCTTTATTAATCTTTCATTGTCTCTTCTGAATTTTGTGTTGCGGGGTTCATCTATTGAACTTTTTCAATGAATTAAACAGCCTAGTATAATTTTTTGGCATTAGCCTTATGCTGTTCATCTCTAAATCATAAATCTTATGATCTTCAATTTTTATTCATTTTAATTTAAGTTTCCCATTGACTGTTAAAGTCTTAATATTTTTTTGTAATTACTAGTCAGTGCCTGCTTTGAAATTAATGTATTTCAAATAATTTACTATGTGCCTTATGTTTGGTGCTAATATTTTGCATCTAGTAGGCACATTTATTTTATTATGATTACGTAAAATAAGATATTTTTATAAGGAAAGTGTATTATTCTCTAACCCAAAGTATTAAAAAGAATATATTTGCTCTCTTTCATGTTATAGATCTAACATATGAATAAATTTCTAACATTTATATTTTAGTGTAATTTATTAGTTACGTTCTTCTAGTCTATGGATACTGTTATGTGCAAATTTATTTTGTTACCATTATTTAGATGATTGTAATCATAAGTTGACTTAACTGTGGTTAACAACTGCTGATAACAGTTTCTCTGTTTTCTGTTATTCCTCTTCAGCAATGTTGTTCAAACTTTGTGGTTGAAAGATTTTGATCATTCTTTTAAGTATCTCTGCACTTCCATAACCGATTTAAGTATTATTAGTTAAAATATAATTTACACAATTCAAGGCTCTTTGTTATGGTGTAACCTAGCGTTTGAATACTGAATTGGAGTTACCTTTAACTATATAAACTACCAGTGCTATTAACGTTTATGTATGGTGCGATTTAATTACAGTAAAGTCAACAATTTATTTTTTTGTTAACTAATTTATTTATTTAAGTAGTGAGAAAGCATAACTTGATATGTCTTAATTGCTGCATGCTTTGGTTTTCTTTATTACTGTGATATTAAAGTTTTCCTTCATTTTTTAATTTTTAACCATAGATTTTTTTATAAAATTAATATTAATGTATAGCAAGTAATGTAATTTACTTTGTCAAGTAAAATTTAGTAACATGAACAAAAGGTACTAATTTTAATTACAAAATATGTACTAACCAACTCAATATAAATATTTATACTTATTTGTGTTTTATTAAATCATATGTCTGCTGAAATAGTTAGTGACAACTTTAGCTAACACTATTAACTAGTGTTTGACTAATTTAATGAAGTTGACAAGAGCAGTTCAGTCCATAATGATTTTTAGTTATTAAAATAGGTTTCTTCCCTTGATAATGACCAAAGGGGTGGTGAAACGTTGATGTAAAAAAATACAATTAAGTAGGACTATGGTGATCAAATATGTGATTTTATTATTCAAACATAAATTTCACAATTGTTATTTTCAATCACCCTCATAACAACCTTTTACCATCTAGTGTGCAAATTTCAATGTATGATCAAAAAAATCAATTGTTTTTTGAGCAAAATATTAAGACATGTCATTTTGGACATAATACAAATTTGGAAATGTTTTGACATGAGAAATGTGGAAAAGATCTGAACAAATGGAAATCCAATGGTGCAACATCAGGTGAGTATGATGAATGAAGCAGTACCTCCCACTCCAATTCATTAATTTTTCCCAGTGTTCATCTTATACTGTGTGCTCTTGTAATTTTGTGTTGCAGAGTAAAGCCTTTTTTGTTGACAATACCCTGCCATGATCGGATTGTTCACAATGAAGGTCTGCATACACAGTTTGTCCTGGGTTCAGCACTTCAAAATGAGCAGTGCTGGTAATACTTAACCAAATACACAAAAGAGCCTTTTGGGGTGTAAACCTGGCTTAGCTGTACTTCCTAGTGATTCTTTTGGAGATAGCCACTGCCTTTGAGGAATGGGCAATTCTGACTACAGGTCTGAACTGAATTTTCCACCACAGTAATTCCTTGCAGTTCTCATTCCATTCGATCTTTGTTCCTGACGATTGAAACGGGATAGAGAATAATGAAGCAAATATGCATTATGCTCAAACTATTTAAAAGGAAATAAAATCATAGTGGCAGAGGATTAACGAGAAGTACAGTCAAATTAAGAATGGACGTTTTAGTGATTGATGAGAGCCCTAGAGAAACATTTTCGGAAAGGGACTCCTAAATTAAAGAGATACTTAGAAAAGGATATTTTATACGAAAACGAGGATACTAAAAAGTAAAAGTTGGGTCTGCAAAATAACTACCCTATTTTGTACAACACTGACAAAGAAGTTGAGTATAATCGCCAATTCCATTCCAAGGCAAGGAATCTTGTCAAAAGTGACATGTTGATTAACGAAGGTCCAACTCCAATACCAGTTGGTTAAATAAAAGTTGCTGTTTTTAAATTAATTTATTTAAAATTACACAGGTTTTAACGTTTTGTTTTTTTAATTAATTCTAAATTTTATATTATAGATTCGTTTTTTTTTTTTAATCTTTATTAAAATATTCATATATTTTCCTTAAATATTCCCTTATCCTTAGTTACAAATCATGGTTAGTATCTCATATTTTAATTTAATTGGATTTAATCCAATACTAAATTAAATTTAGCCGTAATGGTTCACTTTTGAAGCAAACAACCTATGCGATTATTCAATTAATCAACTTCGACGGCAACCAGCTGTAGTGCACTCAACATAATCCCCACACATATTATTACAGTAAGGCTCGAAGTCGGGTTTGTACCAAATATAAGCTCCTGTCATGCTCAAATAATCAAATGGGGTACCGTTGGATTCAGAATTTCACGGGGGGTTAGCGAATCGTATTCTCCGCTTTTGTTTTTCTTTCTAAAATAAGTAAATTCGGTACAAATATTTTGCTAGGCTTCAATACAGGAACGGTGGTCTGTAGATCGATATGGGACCAATTGGGCTTTGAAGATGTTGGTGCGTACTGCAAGACCCGGATATCGGGCCCTGCGTTCTTAAGCCCCAAAACGTACTGGGAAAAACGCTTATGAACTAATTAAAACAGTCACAATATTGTAACCTTAAACAGTTTAAATGTTTCTTAAGTCACAGGGTGGTATAAGATTGAGACATAGTTTAAGTTCACAAGGGTTGAATGTCAAAATAAAACATCTTATTTTGAAAATGCTGCATGCACCTTTGAGTAAAGTAAGATATTTCCTTCAACTGCTTTGTCACCAACTTCATTTTTATTTTATTAGATTAAACCCTACCTTGTGTAGAAGGAATAAGGGTTTTGGCCAGGGCAGCATAATACATGTTGCATCTATTTAGCTAAATCTGGCATTAGTAATAAAATGGAAGACCTATATCAATTGGGAATATCTGTAAGCCAACTTCAGCCTTAGCGTAGAGATACCAAGGTTGAAGTACTCAGGTGCTTCCATCCATACATGAACTCTTCAAAGTACAGTTAGTTCTTCTCTTTTTCATGAGGGGGAGGAAAACGCGTTCCATGAGAACATTGATATCTGTGGATTGCATAGCACGTTCTTTAATTCTTCAAACATGGTTCAAGTCATTACCTCATTCTCATCAGTTAACAGAATGCCACATCTGTGACATAAGAGGGTCAACTTCCTTGCCAAAGCTGTTCAGTTAGGCACCTATGTCCCTTGATGACTTATTAAATCTAGTACTCTAGGAATACACATTTTGCTGCCAGTCGGGACTGTACAATCTAAAAGTTTTTTTAAGGTCGCCCCATTTTAACCCATTAGATTTGTTGACCAATGTTGGTTCCTTTCCTCGATGCTGTGTTGCCTTTCTTTATGTTTTAACTTTCCATAACAACAATTAATTCCACTTTTGAAAGAGAAAAATCAATGGCACCACTTGATATCTTACCACCTCATATATATTATTACATTAGAATCATAAATAAATGTAAATGACTTATGAATAAAAAAACTATTATGTATGAATTTCTTATACTGTTTAAGATCTGACAATTACAGCAAAAAACTTCTTTTTTTATATTATGCAATCTGATGTGAGAGGAGTAATCCTAGCCTTACCACTTTTTTTTCAGTTGATCCCAATAATGGTTATTAAAGAAAATATTTTAAAAATCACAGCCTTTTATTAAATACTAAATTTTACAACTATATATTTCAAACTTAAACTATATTACGTACAAAATTAAGATAAAATACAAATATACATCATTTAAATTTTCCTTTTATAAAAGCACCAAGTTCTGAACAATTCTTCTCTCAATCAAAATTATTTAAATTAATCCATTTCAGTCATAAAAAAAAAAAAAAAATGAACATGTTATATAACCAAAAAGAAAACAAAAATTTCCAAGAAATTAATTGTTTAGTCAAATATTCTCAATATTTATTATTTTAAAATCTTAAATTATATTTAAATTAAATACCTTTAATCCATTATGATAATTAGATAAATTCAAGTTTTCCATGGTAGCATAGACCCACATTGCATCAAACATTATTCATCTGGAATTTGACAGTCTTCAATCTCTTTAGTTGCCGGGTAATACACTTTAAAAGCGAAATTACCTTTACAGAAAGGTCCAGGATTGATAATATGGCATTGATTATACTTCACTGAAAATTCTTTTTGTTGGTCACCAACAACAATCAGATCTGGACATGGGTATAATCTTAGAGCAGAATCAAACTCCCAGTAAACTGGACATACATTTAAACAAAGAGGTACTAAATGAGCTTGACAAATTAACGTTTTGGCAAAATGAGTCCCAATTTCTTTCATATCTGGAAAATGTACACTATTCCTGCATAACTTAGTTACAAGATCTTCCCGCACTAAAACAATTTCTTGAGTACAGTACTGAATACGGCATGGATTAGTAGCTAAAATCACATCTTTCACACTGCTCTTAAGGCCGGACACAATAGTTTCTGGCAATTCAGGCCGTGGCAAAATATTTGCTGCTTGAGAATCTGTGGGGCCAGGGATTATAATAAACTTAGAATTCTGTGCAATGGAAGGCCATTGGGCAACCAGTTCTCCTAATGTTTTAAATCCATCCTTTAAACAGGTCCAATGTTGAAAGCCTTTATGAGCTGACTGGAAATTTCCCATTAAAACAAATGCAGCAGGCGGGCAAGTAGAATAGCCTAAAAATAATTGAGAAAGTTTGTCTTGTACTTTAGGAACATCCAGCCATACATCTGACAAGAAAACAAGCATGGCATCTTCTTTATGTAACTCCAAAGCCTTTAACCGCTCATTGCTTCTAAGTGAGATTTTTGAAGGACCTCCAAAAGTATTCTCAGATCCGAAATAAACACGGCTAATGTCAGATATTTCTCTCGGTGGCAAACCCATATTTTGAACATGCAATACTCTATCTTGATACCAACCTTCAGCAAGAACAAAACAACATTCCGTATAAAGTCCATCCTGATAATTTGTATTAGATAAGTCAACTTGTATAAATCCACTAGGGTCTTCAAGATAATACCTACCTTCTTTAAGCTGAGTCAAAAGTCCTAGAATGACAACATTAGTAATTTTCGAAGTAACTGTAAGTAGATACTCAACTGGTCTCAACTTATACTGCCCATCATCATCACAGACACCATGAAATAATTCGTTTCTTAATGTTCGTTGATAAATTATTGTATAACGATTTTTAAACAGCAGACCTTTGGAAGATGATTTACCATACAATTCTGGGGTTTTATATTTACAAGGAAGGAATTTCTTCCTTTCCAAACTGTACTCAAATTGAGGCACCTCAAATGCAGAAATAACTCTTATTATATCATCTTCTTCATCAACCTCATTTTTAGAGCTCTCAAGGATAGCTGCTTCAATATGTTCCTTTTCTATGACAGGTGTATCGAGTGATTGCTTTTGGAAATGGTCTATGATTTTATCAAGCCAAACCAATCTTTCCTGCTCATTCAACGCACTTAATGTTTGAGTTAAATAATCACAAGCATTGCCTCTAATACTGAAACTATTTAGTTTAAGAATAGACACAATACTTTTTCTCAATTCCTTATTATTATTTGCCATCATAACTTATTTAATTTATCAACACTTATAAACAATAATAATTTATCAACACTCATTGGCAAGCATAAACTATGTTACCAGATTTAACTCATTATAAAAAATACGAAAACATTACTTGCTAATTATCCTCTAATTGTAATTTTTATTAAAAAGTATGTCAACAAGAACTGATCATTTCCACCATAACACACTGTTCATACATAAGATATTTAGCGGGAGATACTACAAATTTCCCTCTCAAACATCGATACCATAATACTGACGAAGAAGTGAACTTCTATCACTATGGAGGTAATTTTGTTTAATTCACTACATAATTTGAACCAATATATATATAAAGAGAGAGAGAGAGAAGAAACAACTTATTTTTGCTCGTTATGCACATAAGGTCGGTTAGAAAATACCTAAAGTTTTATTAACATTTTATACTATACTTAGTCAGTATTTTATACTGATTAAGGTAAACAAATTTCAGTCAAAATAATTTAATTTTACGCGGGGGATTATTATTTTGGGAGTTACTAATCTCGAAAAGATTTATGTTTTCAGCTTAAAACCTTTAATAATCTCACTTCCATTGCTTAGAAAATCCTTTTAAATAAAGCTGAAAATTACAGTATTAATTGAGAATAAGGTATTATTAATCCTCATCTTTACGCGCTTATGCCAATAACCTCCTTTTATTATAGGAATCATTTCTACAGGAATTATACACCTTCAGCACATTGTGTCACTCTCGTAAGATCTAAGTTATATAATAAATAATCTATTTTCTTTACTCGTTTTTTTTTTTTCGTAAACTAAATTATTCGAAACATACTTTCATCCAAATGCATTCAGGATGATTTTTTTTTTTTTTTTTGGCTAAATTAAATTGGATGAAAATATGATATCATTCTAGAGATAATGTGAGGTTTTTTTTTTGCATTTAAATTGTTTTTGTATATACATTTTTTTTAAGCGAAAACTTCTTTAGACGCGTTTTACAGTTTTTTAGTGAATTAGATTGAGCCGACATATTTCCGATGTGTAACTCGCAGGTAAAGTAGGCTGCAGTCGACTAATTAAAGTGTATTTGCAAGTGGATTAAAATATATCAAAAACTAAAAATCGAACCTTCATGCTGCAAGCGAGGAAAGTTTTCAGCATTTCATCCTCTGTAATGCACTATTATTCAAAATGATTTCTTAACACGACGACGTTTTAGGCGAAAAAATTCTGTCGAAAACCAAACGGTAACGAGTTTTATTGAAGATATGGATTAAAATATCTCAGAAACTAAAAATTGTACCTGCTTACTGTAAACGAGAGAATTCTTCAGCATTTCATCCTCCCAGTAATGGGCTATTATTTGTAACTTATATTTCATATCATTAATCTTGCCTTGTTTATGTTTTCACTTGTATCGTGTAAATAACATGGAAGATTTTGTTGGTATTTGGTTCAAAACATACTTCAATAGATTCCATGACTCGTCTTAGCACACACGTTTGATTTTGGAGATCCTTAGCATTCACATTTTTAGGTTCCGTCAGCCTACCTCCTACCTAGATCAATTGACGTCATGAAAAACCACCACTTATTCAAATACCATCAATTCAATACAAATTTTAGATTTATTGCAATGAAAGGGATACCACATTGTTCTCTACCTTATTTCATTACCCGGTCATGACATCATAAACAGGGTAAAGTATTTAGTCTCTGTTCTTGTAGGTACCGACAAGTTCCTAAACTTTGTGCTGAGCTAATCAATGGCTTAGAAAATTCATAAAACCGTTCCTAAACTCATTGATGCGATTCGGCGCTTTCCTTTATTCACCGCTTGAATCACTGATGACTAAAAGGTTAAATTGGCTTTCTAGCTATGTGCAATTGACAGGTGTAGCTGAGATGTTCCTTCGAGCTCCATTGCACCAAGAAAATTTTTCAAAAGTGAAGAAAGTCGCTGTTTTCTTCAAGTTTGCTCGAGAATGCTTTGTCAATTTAAACAGATAAAATAAAATGCATAGAACAATTACAGAAGACTGGCTGGCTACATTAGATTTTTCGCAGTGCAAATATACCACTAATATTATACATTAAAAATACAACATCAAAGTAAAAAACAAGTCGCAAAACAGAAACAGAGACATAATTATAATGGGAGACATCGATGCCAGAATTGGACAGGACGATACAGTCGGAGACGGAGCCTTGTGTTATCATGGAGGTGAGCACACCAGAAATAGAAATAGGCAAAGGCTTATAGATTTCTGTGTTAATTATGACCTACTCGTTGGAAATGCCTTCTATCCACATAAAAAAATCCACAAAATAACTTTCTCTGCAGAAGAAAGAAATGTACATAGTATAATAGACTACATTATATACCGTCGAAGAATCAGGAAACTGTTTATAGATATCAAAGTAATCAGAGGTGGCGAAATTGATTCTGACCACTTCCTTACAGGAGATATTTAAATCCTCTCTCCCAAGAAGAATTAGCCCAGAAACTATATGAAGATGAACATTAAGGAACTTCAGACACCTGAAAACAAATAGAAATATAAAGAACTTATTAATCGCAATCTCCAGAAGATCGGAATGGATGGAAATGTGGATCTTCTTTGGTAGAAAATAAAAAATGATATAATGGACCCAGCAAACACGACTTGCGGAATCACAAAAATCTCACCGAAAAGCGAAAGATCAGAATGGTGGAATGAAAGAGTGAAGGCGGCAGTCACAAGAAAGAAAACTGCTTGGAAGGACTATAGTAGAGATAAGACTCCAATAAATTGGGAACTCTATGTACACAGAAGAAAGGAGGCGAAATTAGTTGTTAGAGTAGCAAAAATGAAGAGTTTTGAGGAATTTGAGAGGAGCCTGCAGAACAACTACAATGAAAATGTTAAAGTTTTCTGAAAAAAAAAAATGATAGCAATAAAAACAAAGAAAAATAAGCCCATAAGAAATATAAGGGATGAAAAAGGCGGATTAATCACCAGAGATACAGAAATTCTGGATAGATGGTCACGCCACTATGAGTAAGTTTTCTCAAGCAATGATGCTGATAATAAATTGGATATATGTGAAACTCCTCCACAAGAATTTGACGAGATAATCTGAGAGGAAGAGATCGGAAGTGCAGTAGCAAAACTAAAGAATGGTTTGGCAGCTGGTAGGAATGGTATTGTGCCAGAATTTATTAAATACGGGTGACCTGAACTGATGAAAGCCCTACAGTGCCTCTTTCAAAACGTATTGACTAAAAAAGTTATTCCAGAGGATTGGAAATAGAATGTAATTGTTCCAGTTCATAAGAAAGGAAATACAAGCGAATGTGGAAATTACAGACCTATTTTTCTCTAATAGGTTGTATATAAGATATATACTTCAATAGTGAAGAACAAACTTAGAGCAATGTTGGAGGAACACTTAGAAGAGGAGGAAGCTGTTTTCAGGCCTCACCCTCAAACACAAGACCACATATATTCTTTAAGAACAATAATCGATAAGGCTTGGGAACGGAACAGAAATGTATTCCTCACATTCTTGGACATAAAGGCTGCATTTGATTCCGTCCCTAGACAAGAACTATGGAAGGCCCTGATGGACAAAAATGTTCCACGAGGATTGATAGATGCTATAAGGTCCACGTATCAGGACTCGAAGGGCATAGTTAGAATAAATGGATTAGAGTCTGATATTCTTGCCATGAGTAAAGGTGTTAAGCAATGGAATAGCTTGAACCCCCTACTGTTCATTATATATATGGACGAAATTTTAAAGATTTGTAAATGACGAACAGCGCGAACAGTTGTAGGAAAATGGAACATGAGGACGATATTGACACAAGTAATGGTCTTTGCAGATGACATCGTTCTCATATCAGACTCAAAGGAAAATTTGCAGGAAGCGTTAATCGAATGGGAGGCTGAACTAGAAAGAAAGGGTATAGCAATTAAAGTCAGAAAGAGCTAAGTAATGCACATCGGATGGGATCAGAAGGTTGTTGAAATTTATTGCAAAGGAGAGGCACTGGAAATGATGGGGGACTATACATATCTAGGTGCAGGAATGAACAAGAACGGAAGGGTCGACCATGAAATTTCCAACAGGATTAAAAGGACAATGATGTGTATTACAGTTTATGCAATACAGTCGTTGGGAAAAGGAAGATAGAGAGGTATGTAAAAATACATATTTTTAAAGCGGTATATCTACCAACTTTTATATATGGGAGTAAAAGCTGGGTCCCATTAACCAAACACCTTAGCAGAGTTACTGATTACTTACTTACTATGTAGCTCTACAGCCTATGGTGGGTCTTGGCTTCTGAATTATAGCATGCCAATCATCTCTATTGCTCGCCCTTTCCTTCCAATTTCTCACGCCCAGTGTTCCAACGTCGCTCTCAACATCTTGTAGCCATATTTTCCTTGGTCTTCCCTTTCTTTTTGTGCCATACATTGTGGAGAACAATGCCCTATAAGCATCCTGCTGTTGTTCATTCTAACCACGTGGCCTAACCATTCCATACGCCTAATTTTAACGAAATTAACTATGTTGGCACTAGTATATAATTCATATAGCTCCGCATTTTTTTCTATACCTTCACAAACCCTCTTCACAAACAGCTCCATAATTTTTTCTCAATATTTTTCTTTCAAAAATATTCAGAAGAAGAAGAATATACCACTAATATTATACATTAAAAATACAACATAAAAATAATTGAAATGAAACGGGAAAAAATTTAAATAAAACATCAATAAGAAATAAATAATTATGTATTTACAGAATAGATACAATAAAAATTATAAGATTGCAAGATTGGTTCTTACCCTGAAGTCAATAAGGAATTCTATGACGACTCTCACTCATATAACGCATGTGTAAACTATATACAAATATCGTAATAAAACAATAATTGGTTCTCAGAGTTCATTCGATACGAGAAACTTTTTAGATGAAGACGCAACTCGTATCTTACAGAGAATCTGAGCTGCAGGAAATCCCTCTTCCATTCCACAGGGACTTTTAATTTGAAATATTCTCCCCAAGAAGCTAAGTAGCTCAGATGATGGTACTGCGGGTTGTATCTGGAACCAAGGTCACATCTACAGTTATGAAGCGATTGATCCATTTTTCCAGGATTTCATTTTTATTGTTCAGCAACCAACTTCAGCTCGTGCATCAAAATACACCCTTATTCCCTAGACTGCTCATCCTGTATAGAGGGACAAACCACCAATCGTGGAGCTTCTTAGGATGAAATCCAGTTCCATTCACAATCCGGCTTTAACATCTTCTTGGAAATTCGTCCGGCTTCATTAATTGGAGAGTGATAGACTATTTCAGCGTTATCTTCAATATCAAAGTGTCACCCACCTACCCAAACTTATTGCCATGTTATCTTTTTAAAAAAAAAATCGGGGTGTGGAGAAGGAAGGGTAACCCCCATCTTCAAAAAAAAAAAGAAAAGATAATACAAAATATCACCTCTCTATTCAAACATATTGTCAATTGGCGTACCAGAACTTTGGTATCGCCCAAAGCTTCTCAAGATGACTACATGTGATTTAATATTGCTCTTACAGGTGCAATTAAATTAAATTAACTCTGTGATATTAACTAGTTTGATTGATGTCAATATAATTGATGCCTTATTTGCCACATTCTAACTCTTACACGGTCAATATACTGACGGAATTCGATATTGACCGTGTACGGGTCCCTTCAGCAACTAGGATTTGTCACTGACTGCCCACCTCTTAGGTCAATTGGCAAATTCCTAACCTCAGTGCTGAGGTTAGGATTTTGCCAGTTCCTAGCTCTATGTCACTCCTTGATAACCTTTTAATTATTTTATGACTATTAGATAGTAATTATTTCTAATCAATATATAATGATTCTATCTGTTCTTACGAAAAATCTCAGCAGTAACAACATCCTAACTGGAAATGGTTTTTTATCAGTTGTCAGTAATGGTATGGTGGATCTTTTATTTTTGCATGACATTTTTATGTATACAAGAATTTAAACTTCTTTCATGAAATATACGTTATAATGACAGATTGTGATTTTATTATATTCATTAATGAACTTATTTGACATCTTTTTGAAGAAAAAGATAATAGAATTTAATGTTTTGTTTATTGTACAGTCTTAAGAATAGATTCAGTTTTATGTAATACTTATAGAAATGTTTATGCTTTTAGACTTAATTTTATTATGTATATTATGAATCATATTCTAACTGTTATTCCTTAACTGTGTGATATGTATTTATTGCCATTCCATTGATTTCATTATTATTTAATTTTAATTTTTTTTTCAGTATTAAATGTTAGATTTGCCTCTAAAAAAGCTGGAAGTAGTACTAGAAATAGAAAAGGACATTGTCGACCAAAGCACAGGGGTATACATTATCAAGATGGATCATTTGTTCAACCGGGCACAATGCTAGTAACACAGAATAAATTAAGATGTCATCCTGGTTTAAATGTTAGTTTACTCTTAATAAATTGTAGGCTATATTGTATTATTTAACCCCATATACCAGGAATAGCCCGGTAGGGGAGAAAAAAAAAAAAAAAATTATAATAAATTTTATGCTCAAGTAATCAAGCTATTACTAAAATGTAAAACATGAGACTGATTGTGAAAACATAAACTATATGATTGCACATAACTACACTATGATTTAATAGATAAGAACTACCTAAAACAATGTGTTTAAAATATTACAATAAATTTCCATGACGAAAAATATGCATTAGTAGCTCGTATATGACAAAATGTTTTGTCATCCCCACTTAACAGGTTAAGCTATCTCCTCCTCTCTCCCCCTTTAAAACATCAACATTTTATTGATATTTCTATATTTTGAAATACATATCATTTATATGATATCTCATTTTTTGAATGAATTAAGTTTAAAATAACCCATGTAAAAAGTAGAATTAAATAATTGTTTGCAGGCTGGTATTTAAATAAATTCAAAGGGGTTGGCAATCTCAGGTCAAAAGAGGCACTGATCTGGTTGAATCTGACCCTGGCCAATTGAAATTTATTTTGTGGTTGAATGGATCTCACCATTCCCAATTTGTTTATATTACGTTGAACAATCTACCTCCTTCCTACTATTGTTGTAGTTCATAAGGATATCAAACCCAAACTAACGAACATGATAAATTCATTTCTCCGATTACTTCTATACCAACTTTTTTTTATAAATTTACACAATTTACTTTTCTGTTATTTATATGTTTAATATAAAATATAAATATATTTTTTTAACTATCATTTTTACTTTTTAACTTTATACTATGATTGCTATTCACTGTTTCTAGGTAGGATTTGGAAGAAATGGGACCCTTTTTGCATTAAGGCCTGGTAAAGTGATTGTAACATGTGAAAAAGTCGACCTCAATCTTAACCACAGCTGGGTTTCGAGAGCCTATGGAGGAAGAGATACTGAACGCATTTACAAAAAGTATTTTCATGTTATTCCTGAAAAACAGCATAGCCGTTTTAAGTTAGTAGAATGATTGTTTTATATTTGTTTGTAATTATAAAAATATATTTGTATACTTGTGTAGTTATATTAAATTATTAAAAAATGTTCTCAAAATTTTTAATAAACCAATTAAACCAGCAAAGCTATAAAATAGGAACCGTTAGTAGGAGGTTCTTGATCAACTACATTCTCTGCATTACTGAGTACGTAGTATATTGGGGATACATAAATTGAAACATATATATTTAAAACAACTTAATAGCTATAAATATACATAGTTACAATACCCATTTTTATTTTAAAAATTTGGTGAATTTTTTTTTGGCAATATGGTCCTAATGGTGTAATGACTCTGAAAAGAAATGAATAGCATAATCAAGGAAGGAGATGGTCCGGGGTGGCGGTCATAAATAGGCTGAATAGTTTTGCCACTATTCAGCCTATTTATGACCGCCACCCTGGACCATCTCCTTCCTTTATATTGCAATGGTTAACTATTAAATATTCAATATGAATAGCATAATCATGTTCAGACATCCAACTGCTACGTTTTGGAGTGAATGAGAACCTATAAATATTAAAATGTCTCTTACCATCTGCGCACACTTTCCATTTTGATTGGGGAAAAGAGGGGCGATGGACAAAAAAAAAATATGGCATAGTTCGTATTATATGTAAAAATTTCACATGATTATGGTGAAACGAACAAATATAATATTGAATATTTAAAAATAAATTTATGTATATATGTTTTGACGATTGGAGGATATATTTTTTTTATGTACCTATTGATATATTTGAAAATATCTAAATGAACCATTTGGATATATTACAATTTGTATACATTTAACATGGAAGGAAGGGGAACAGCCTCCATTTCTCGAAGTAATTCAACTAAAAACGAATAATGTTAAAACTGGAAAATACTTTTGATTTCTTGGTTTTTACATCCTCCAAATAAAAACAAAACATTTTCTTAGTCTTGACTAGTTATATAAAAAATTCTCCAATAAAATATATTTATGCTTCTTATATATATTCCAACTTTATCACAAAATATTTATAAGATAATCAGATGAAAATGGAGGTGTTCATACGAGATGTGAATTATTATCACTAAATATAAATAATAAGAATATTTAGGCCATGATAAAATTGTTACATACCTACCTATATGCCTTAGACTAACCAGCTAGTCGTCTTTTCTTAATCGATTTTAGTTCACATATTTTATTTATTCATGTAGCTTATTCGATATCAATTTTTATTTTTTTTTTAACTTCAAATTATTGGGGAGCCAAACTATATTCTTGCCCATTTTTATGGGGGGAGGGGAGCGATTGCACCCCTTCTCCTCTGAAGTCTGCGCTTATGTCTTTTACTCATTACCATTTGTTAATTTAGCTTCACAATATTTACCAATGTATATTTAGTTATTCAAAGGGTTTTTTTATGATAATTTTTTTTTATCAAATATGCTTGATTACTTTCATTCAAGTTGGTTTGAATTATTGTATTATGATGTTAGTCAAAGGAGTAGGATAGTTCAATAAGTCATGGCTCCTATGCTCTGGGTCATGTGTTCGAGACCAGCTGTGGTAGATAATTATTTAATCTGTTAGCATCAATGATAGAACTGACCCAGAGATCTGGTGACCCTCTTGGTATTCATCCAGCCTCTGTAATGTGAGGTCTCTTAATTACCTTGGTCAAATCACCTCCTTGCAACAGCAGTGTATCAAGAAACAGTACTTTCTCAAAAAGTACTGAACCCAAGATTACCCGCCATGGGTTGTAGTGGTACAGGTCATTTTATTTAAATTTGTGTTGTCTACTGTCAACCATTCCTTAAAGCCTGAATTGAGTTTGGGAAAGTTTTTTTTTTTTTAATCTTGATTTATTTTTTATTTAGTTGTTTTAATTGAAAAATTAAGTAGTTGTCTGCGTTAAGTGAGTAAAAGCAAGACAACACTGATCTAAAGTCCACAAGACAGGCACTTTACTCGTATCTTCAGAAAAAAAAAAAAATTAAAATGTGCATAAGTTTGGATATTATTGAGTGAATTTTTTTTTCTTATTATTATTTTGAAGAACTTTTTGTTAAAACAAAACCACAGGTGTAAATTAAAGGGCAAAAGGTTAAAATAAATAACAAATTTAAAGACAAATATAAAAAAGTTTTTTTCTTTCTTAAATCTTGTACAAACAGACTGTATATAGTAACTTTTCTCATATCTATACATTCCATAAAACTATGAATTACAAATTCATATCAGATAAATCACATAATTAATTTACAAATGAGTGGATATAGTTTCACTTCTCTTCCTACATCATGTAAAGCTATAAATTACAAATTGATCTCCGTTAATCACATATTCAATGTACTAATCAGCACATTGTAACTAATGTATAGTATTTCTAAGCTTGATAATTTGACAGTCAATCAACAACTTAATCAAACTTTAAAAAAAAATAAAATTTAATTTAAAAATAAATACTATTAGAAACCTTTAATACAACTTAAAAGTTCCATTTTTAAAATGTTGAGATTTTGCTTTCTATAACATTTTTTTCTAATGAAAGCAAAACTAAAAAATAATATCAATTGATCACATCTGCTAATAAAAAAAAGAATAAATTAATTAAAGTCAAAGGTAAGAGATTCAATAGATTCCGAGAGACTCAGCTCCTTCATTAGGTGGCAGTATGTTCTGAGCCCATGAGCGACACTGGTGTATAGCTGTCACCCTCAGTCACAACAAAAACCTGAGTAAATGTTTCACCTATTTCTTCTGCACCTGAAAAAAATACTCTTAAATAACCGGTAGATGTTTTTTCAAAAGTATTCCACAAATTTATATGGATTTAGCATTTTATTAGATAATGATAATATTGGGTATTCCATATAAGAGAAACCGCATAGCTTAAAAAACATGAAGTAATTTTAAAATATGACTGCAAAAAAGATAGTACAACATATAATTATTTTTGAAATGAATAAGTGTATATCACGTTATCAAACAGTTTTTAGGAAAATAAATCAAACAATAGAATCATAGTGAAAATTCAGGAAGCATAACTCTCTTAATTACCATTGTTATTTGGGACAGGCATAACTGGTGGAGAAGCTGAGTCGGCTGAATGTCAAGTTGTATGCTTTTTGCGGTGAGCCATCATCGTGGAACGAGAAACAAACGCTTTAAGACAAATATCACATTGATACGGACGCTCTCCAGTATGCAGTCTTTTGTGAATGGCCATTGGAGAAAACTGAGTGAAACCCTGTCCACAGATATCACACTTGTAAGGGCGTTCACCTGCAAATATGAAGTTGATTTAAACTTAAATTAAAAAGAAATATCCTTTGCAGATATTATTTACATACTTGATGTTTCAAACAGATATAATTTATTTTTTGTTGTATTAGTTTAATTAACATGTTGACTAAGTGTGAAATCCACTTTGTAGCTATTGTTTTTCATAAATGTGCTTCAAATTTTGGCTTAAGTTCTAATACTGTCGAACAAGAATAGGCTAAAAAATTTAGGATATACACACATAAAATTAAGTTATATTCATACAAAAATACATAGTAATATTAAGTATATTTTCTTTTTTATTAACAATTATAATTTTTTTCTTTCTTTAATTTATCGGCCCAAGACTTCCACTGAAGTCCTATTCTGCACATAATCTTACCAAAGTCTCTAGTATCTATATATACAGTATTTTGAATTCTACATAAATAGATTAATTACAGACATTTTTGTAAAGGGATCCAACATATTACATGATCTCTTGACTATATCCAAGGTTTCAGGCAATGAGTGTTGTGATATGTTAAGAAACAGGAAATGGAAAATTAAAGGATATTGTACAACCAATGATAATACACACAAGTTTTAGAAAAAGTATTAATTGGTTTTGACAAATAGTCAAATAATTTAATTTAGAATTTATTTTGTTTTTTTAATGAATATTATGGAAACTGTTACTAAAATCATAATAAAATTTAAGAAAATACCTGTGTGACTGCGTTTATGGCACCTTAAAGCATCACGTCTTGCAAATGCTTTACCACACATCTCGCATACAAAACTCTTCTCGCCAGTGTGCATTGTAGAATGTATACGTAGATCAACTCGAGTTAAGAAACCTTTTCCACAAACTTCACATATAAATGGCTTTTCTCCAGTATGGATCCTCAAATGGGTAGCCAAATATGATTTGCTAACAAACAGCTTATTGCACACGGTGCAAGGATATTGACGATTATCTAAACCAGAATGAACTTTTTGATGTGATTTGCAAAGACCTTTTGTAATAAAACCTCGGCCACAAGTTTCACAAATATATGGTTTCAATCCCAGATGACGGTTTTGATGATCGAGGAGACTCTGCTTAGTTTTAAAATTACGTCCACAAGTTTCACAAGGATATGGTTTTAAGTCGCTATGGACTCTTTGATGAACTATCAAATAGGATTTACACTGAAATCCTTTTCCACAAGTTCCACAATTGTAATCAAAATGACCTGTATGCTTTGCTTCGTGTTGTGCAAGTCCGATCTTCGATCTGAATGCCTTGTCACACATTGAACACTTATAAGGCTTTTCACCAGTATGCTTCCGCATATGCTCAGCTAGTTTGTAATTGGTCTTGTATTCCTTTCCACACTCAGTACATGCTTTCATATCACCTTTTGAATCCTTTTTGCCTTCAGATTTTTTCTTTACTCCATTGTCAACATTCAACTGTTCCCGATCTATATAAGGATGCACATCTCTCATATGGACAAAAAGTACCTCATCATTTGCAACAGATATTCCACACTCGGCACACTTTTTCCAATGTACTTCACAATGAGCTTGAAAAGTGTCACTGCTATCAAATGCCTTACCACAAATATTGCAAAAGTACCATTGTGGGGATTGGTGCTGTGACTGGTGAACAGCTTCAGCAGGGCTAGGTACAATATATGTTGTTCTGGTATTCTGCACTTCTCCACCCTTCATAGGATTTTCAGTAATGTTTTGTAAGGTCCTGAAAGAAATAAACACATTTAGTATCAATTAAATTAAAATGAAAATGTAATATTGAGCTGAGTTTGTAATTTATTAAGTATTTAACTTTTTGTAATCTCTAAGCTCAAATTTATAACTTAAGCCTTCTATTTATAGCTGTGATCATTTAGAAAGAAACAAGGAGAGATTTTTTTATCCAACAAAAAGTGAATATATAGTTCAGTAAAGCAATTTATCAATAATCAGAAGGTGAATCTAATTTGTTACTTCATTACCTTATTAATTAAAGGTGAATTTAATTTGTTACTTCATTACCCTTATTAATTAAAGGCGAATATAATTTGTTACTTCATTCTCCTTATTATTTAAAGAAAACTTCAATAAATATTATTTGTTAGTCAAAAAGTGTAGATTCGAGATATTCAAAATAATTTGATTATCAAATGAATCAAATTTCTTGAAAGGGTTTAGTTATTTTCTTCCCATTACTACCGAACTAATGATTTTAAAATTTACATTAATTATTTAATGTTATTGTTAAGAGTTCAAGCATTTTTTTTTAAACACTATATTTTGAAAAAAAAAATATAGGGTTGTAAAATTTTACATTAACTTGGAACCACCGAGTTAAAAATTATAAATGATATTAAATAAGAAGAAGTTGTGAATTTTTTTTTCATTCTGTGTATGAATTGATAAATCAAAATGACTAATCTGACAAGGTAATATTGTTTACGTTAAGGTAATTTTCCATAGTAAATACTTGAGAATGCGAAACAATCATGAAGATTAAATATTGCCTGTTATGAGTAGAGATGGTTAGTGGAATGTACAATGTTTAAATAAATAAAATAATCTCATTAACATGAAAGTTCCAATACCAGTAAATTCTTCAACAGGTTCGATAAGAATGTCTGACCTTATCTCTTGCATCTGCAGATTATTGTTCATCCCTTCAGTCATATTGCATGATCCATTTGGTTCTGCTTCAGCACCAATAGAATCTCCTTCAGAATCTGCCTCTGGCGTTCGTTGCAAATTACTGTTGGCACATTGAATACTGTCATGTTTAATAATAATTTCAGGCTCGCATTTAATCATGTTTGGATGATGGTTTAATGGTATATTCATTATAGCATCAAGTTGTTCGCTGTTATTATCAAGACCAATTCCAACCTAAAATATCAATAAATAATCTATAAGTAATTGTAAGATATCAATGTTGTCAAATATTAAAAATAAATAACTGGGATTGATAAATAAATAATGATCACCATGTAAAAGTAACAAATTTGATAAATCATGTTTTTTACTTTTCTCCATTTCATAGTCGCATGCAGAGTTGAGGATTAAATTATAATGAAGACTGTAAACCAAAAAACAATCTTGTATTGTGATGCACGCATTACACAACTTTGACTTCCCACCCTAATTTGAATAGCATCAAGGATAAAGTAAACAGGTCACTGGATGTAAACATTATGGATGGTATGAAATTCAATTAGGTACTATATGAGGGGCTTTATATTAAAGACAGACATCTACCATTTTCAGAAAGTGAATAAAAAGCCTAATTTTGCTGTATATGTTCAACTCAAACTGTTTCTGATGATTTTATTTAAGAATGTTCAAGTTGAATCATGAAAAAAAATTATTAAGATTGGTTTAAATTGAAGCAATGTTACAGAAAAATGAGATTGTCTGTCTTTAATATGAGGCCACTCATATGTTTTTCCTATCGTTACTAATATTCTTTGGTGGGTAGTATAGCTATTGATAGATAAAGCGGTGGAAAAAAGTATTTGCGCACCCTGCTTTAATAATATTAGTTAATGTAATGAAATAAAAACTTGTTCAGCTACAGAAAAGAAAAAAAAAACCTGTACTACAATCCATGAAGGGTATTGGCTTCAGTACTATTTAGGGAAAGTACTGTTTCTTAGTCAACAGTTGTGAAAAGAAAACATTCTATGCCCACAAAAATATAATAACTCTCAGCTTAACTAAAAAAACAATAAATTCCTAGGACAAAAGTATTTGTCCTACACTCCTGATTATTTTTAAGGAAGGAGATGGTCTGGGGTGGCGGTCATAAATAGACTAAATAGTGGCAAAACTATTTTATTAAAAGCCAACGTTTCGACCCGACTTTGCAGGTCTTCTTCAGGATGGTGAACAAACTGAGAAACTTTGAGTTCTAAGTGAAACTCCAAGATGGACCATCTTCTTCCATAATAATACAACGGTCAACTATTAAGTATTCAATCTGATTATTTTCACTTTTTTAATTCAAATATGAATTTAATATAAAGTAAGAAGTCTGCTGAAGTCAATAATTGTCTGTAGACATCTTGATAAGATTTTTAACCAAATCTAGACCAATTTTTCCCATTCTTGAACCAAATGTTGCTTAAGATGGTGTCTTCCAGTGATGTTTTCCCACATTTATACCGAGAATGTGCCTTAAATTTAAAAATTAAGTTTATATGTGATGATTAAAGAGAGGTATGCAACTGTTTTCACAAATTGAAAATTAACCATTCCTCAGTTTTTGGAGCAGTGTGATTTTCCATTCAGTAGTATGAACATTCTCCTATATCATAATATGACCACTACCATGTTTTACTGTAATGGAAAAATTTTACTTTTTATCAGACCTAAACATAATAAACTTGCTTTCATCTGAAAATATGATATTTTACCAAAAGCTATAAGATTTGTTTCAACAATTTACATTTTCTTTCAAGGCTCCCCCTAATGAAAGCTTTCAGAATTCAGAAAACATCTGATTATTCTCTCACTAACCTGGAAACCAGTTGTTAAGTAAACTAAATTAGTCAAGTCATCAGAAACCCAGTTGTCTGGTAAAATGTCTGTTTATTGATTGGTTTAAAATTGTTGGAAACTTTCTGAAAGACTACATAATACAGAGGAGGGAATTAAGGATTACATTAAATTGTAGGCAAACCAAATGTGAAAATATTTCTTTCCAAAGAATTTTATAATTTTTGTTTAACTAAGCTAAGAGGTTTTATATTTTCATATCATTTTAATCGAATTTTTACTTTTGTACTGTTGAATGGAGTTTTTATTTCATTAAATTAACTCTAGTATCTCATCTATGCAAGTATATCTATCCATAAGTGTACTAGCCACCAAGGAATTTTAATAACCACTCTATATAAAACAGTGGATCCTATCAGTGAAATTCATAAAAAAAAAAAAAAAATCCACAAACGCCCTTCAGAAATAAAGTAAATGAGTGGGCATGAGTTGGATAACATTCAGATGAATTAAAGATTGACGTGAGTTTGGTGGTACTATATCTAATGCAAAAATGGTAAATTTTTTGTGATCAGACAGTTTAAGCTGCAAGACCAGGCATTGTGAGTTTATTTCATACAGGTAATATGTTCAACTTTGGTTTAAAACTGTTAGAAACTTTAAATATTGAATATTCGAACACCCTTAGGAAATCAAGATGCAGTAACTAAGAAATAATTTTATTTAAAACCAGAAAGGAATGATGAACGAATTCATAATCACGATATTAACATTGTAGCTGTAACATTAATGCAAAGATTCAGAAGAGAAGATTAATACAAACACTTTAGTTTTAGTTTAGGGAAACAATTTCAAAAGCAACAAACTTTAATATCTTTTATATAAAAGAACAAGGAATTTTAAAGCAACATAAATTGGAACTACTTGGACTAACAGAAATATTTTTTTAATTCAAAAAGGTAAATCTGTTATCAAAATATCTACGTTGTTTACAGCCATGTACCAGGTAGCAGCACTAGCTATATCCTGAGGCACTTCACCACTTTTCTTCTTTTTTCTTTACAGTGTGGGACCAAGAATTTCCAAATTATGGTGTATTAATCTTATTTTCAAAGAAACAAAATATTTACATAAAATTTCTAAATATTCAACATTTAACAAGAAATTATAATTTGATTAACTACTCAATAACTTTTAAGCTAAAATGAAATATCGTTAATATTCATGTCTTTAAAAATTGTGACTGTAATAGCACCTCTGTTGGTTGAACATGTAAAGTTTCGCTGTGCTCAGTAGATGCTGCTGCACAAAATGTATCAATTGTTATGCCAATAGATTCTGTACAAACAGGAGTGAAAACATTCTTCAGTATGTTATTAAGTTCATATTCAGTTTTCATACTTCGTTCTCTAAACTCAAACATCTCGTCCAATTTAAAGACACATTCTTCACAGATCATTTTAGGCAATTTGTCAGAGCTGCTAACCTAAAATTGGATTAGTTAGTAAAAATATTTATTCAAAGTAAAAATATTTATTCAAGCTTAACATAACATTGAATGATCCTTACTTGTACAGGTAGACAAGCTTTGATTTTTTTGGAAATTTGTCTTAAGTCTCCCTCTCTTTCGAAAATATGAAGACCCATCAATACTGTTGTTTTTGAGCCACATAGTCTACATAAATCACTAAATTGGGATAATTGTATGTTGACAGTTGCCATTTTACACTTCACACAGAATCTAAATGGTATGCAGAGGAAATAGCCATCAGACTATTTATTCATCAGCACCGCACTTTACACCATGAATAATTCATATTAAGGCTAGGGAACATAGCTGTCATTATGTAGACTTTTATAATATTTGTAAAAGGTGATATATTTTGACCTATAATAATTTGAGTGGGTAATGGCTATGTAACCCTAAACAATAAATGCCTTCGATAACTTGATATTCTAGAAGCTTTGCTTTCATCTTGGTTTTCGCCAATAGATTCATAATTATGAAACTATACGTAAATATTGATACAAGTTTTTTTCTTTTTAATAATTCATCATTTTTTTTTACCATGTATAACATGTATCTTCAATTTTATAAGAGCTTTCTATGTATACCACAACTAGTACAAATTACAATTTCTTAATTTAGATATCTTTTCAAAAGACTTTTACAAATTTTTAAGAAAATAAGCAAGACTTCTATGATGATAACAAAACGCCGACAAATTCATTGCTACAAAAAAAAAAAAAAGATGTAGCAAATTACGCTAATAATCATGCATGCTGCTATCAGAAGAGAGATGGCCGTTCGGTTCTTTGGGAGCTACTAGTTGTAATGTAGAAAATGGCTGGCGTTAGTGATTGTTTCGCGATAGGAAGTACTGTGGCTTGTAAAACATGTTACAACAAAGTAATAGAAGGCGAGGTTCAAGCATTTGATCCTCAAACAAAAATGCTTGTCTTACGTATCCTTTTAGATTTGGATTTTCTTGATATTATAACCTTTTATTTTCATTACTATTCCTCAGTATATCCTTACTAGTTTTTTGTTTCAGATTATTCAACTATATAATTTTTCTAGTATTGGTTACACATTTCTAATGTTAAGCCTAAATATCTGTGTTTAACAAAGTTATCATTTAAGATTTAATGTTGTTTTTGATGTTTTTAACTTGCACTTCATTTAACTTAATTTTTTCTTTTTGTTCATTTGTGGTGAATGACTGATTAAATTACCTTAACTTCACCACTTATGACCTGAGTGTAATACTAGTTAATGTTAAAACAATTTGAGTTTATGATAAGTGCTGATAATTATGCAATAGTATATTTCACCTTAATCAGTGTTTAGGGTGCCCTGCTTCAAACAATAGGCCAAGTTACTCTAATGTTTATATTGTTAATTTATCATTAGTCAGTGATGTCCAGGTTAAAAAAGAAGTCTCTACACCTCAAGAGCCTATGAAGGCATTAAATCTACAAAGGGTACGTGATATAGATTTGTGTCTAAGATTACTTATTTCAGCCTATTTCATTGCTTTTGGTTCATATTAAATTGATAACCATGGAATTTATATTATTGAATTTCATAATACTTTATTAAATTTAAAGATACGACAGTTTTATGATATCTTGAATAAACAAATGTATTTTGGAAAAGAGATGTTTTTCCTACTTTTCACTTTATTTGATGTTAATCAATGTCACTAACTGTCATACAATTAAAAAATATTAACTATTGCTTTATTTTTTTCTGAAGTGGAAGTTGCAACTAATTCCTCCATTTGTAATTGAAGTATTTAATTGCTATATCAGTTGAGGTCCTTATAATAATCTCATCTGCAGTGGTATTACAATTGGTATCAAATTAGTTTTATTCTAGGTTCATCAATCTCCAAATAAGAAATGTGCATTTGGAGATTGATTAATTTACTAAACTTATATTTCTTTTATTCTGAGTGTCTTGTCATATAATGAATTTTGAAGCTTGTCAGTTATAGAATTTTATACTTGGTGTATGGTGAAAGTATTTTTTAAAAATTATTCTTTTAGAGACAGGATCGAAATATGACATTAATTATTTTCATAAATTATCCTTTTTACTGTATGGAGATGTAAGATACCTGCTTACATGAACTCCTGTCCAACACCAATCTTTTCTATTTCCAGCTTCCGTTGTTCTTACATAAGAATTTCTTGATACCCTGTTCACATGTAATTCTGAGTCTTCCTCTGGGCTGCATCCCTTACTTTGGCCTTATACATCTCTTTGGGCAAAATGGAGGTTTGTTATTCTAAAGAAGTGACCCAACGAGCTTAGGATTCCTTTCATTTCTTATTCTATCCCATCTTGTTCTGTCTTCAACCTTCCATTGCATTCTGGATTCCCATTGCCTAGATTTGTTCTATATGTTTTGTTGTTATTGTCCTCGATCTAGAGAAATAGTTGCACTTTGTTCTCCTCATCTCTTTTCTGTCGAGGAAGAAGCCTTTATTTAAGGCCCAACTCATGTAGGTGAGTACTGATTTACTTTAAAGTTTCAACTTGTTTAAATCTGACTTAATTTATCCTGAGTTCTCTCATTGCTCACCTGGGTTTTTTGTTAATCATCATTGGTTTTGGCTTATCGTCATTTAATTTCATAATAATATGAACTATTCTTTTAGTAGTAATTTATTAATGCTAATATTTCATCTGTGAAGCAAAGGAGCTGTACTTAATTCTTCCTAAAATGTAGTATTGTAGGATGAAACTTTTAAGTCTTTCCGTCATCCTGCTCAACACCCAGCAGCAGTACAGAATAAATAGCGAAGGGCTTAAACAGCAGCCTTGTTGAATCGCTATTTTTCTTGATTACTATTGATCCTACTCTATGGTTATGAGTACTACCCACTTAATCATGGCTCATTCTTCTTTTACTTCTTAGAAATTTTTACGAATTTCTAAATTCCAATTCATGAATGATTGATATCAAAGTAGGATAGTATGATTTGGATAAAAATCCCTCCAAAGAGATCTGTCTGGATTGAAACCATGGAGATGAGGGGAATGCTAATCAAGAATATAAGAAAAAAATACTCAAAATTCAACCCATGATTTGTTTTATAATCAATTAGGAAGGAATTTATATCATCGAGGAGATCATTGGGTTAAGTTTAAAAGTTTATGAAAAATAATTCGTCCATTTCAACATTTAATAAAATAATGGAGAAAAAAGAACGATCATTATAACTTATGGTTTGAAAGCTGTGTGATTTTTTTGTTCAAAAACCAATATATTGGACTCTGTGATCTCTATGGATCTTTTTAAGCTATCAATAAATATATTTCTAGGATAGGTATAAAAAAAGAAAGTTCGATATGATAAAAGATTTGGATGGAAATCTCAGTTCTTTCTACTTATCTAATTTTAAGTTCCACTGTTTTTGGTTTGTATCAGTGCTGTGTTCAATATGTAATGGTGGTGTGTAAATTACTATCAGACATGTTAAGACATAGAGTTAAGCTTTGGTTTTCCATTGAACCATTTTCTAAGCATTTAAATTGATGATCCTCCTTGATACTCGATTCTGCTGGGTATAGCTGTCTTGTACATACAAGTTCAAGAAATTAATTTAAATAACAGAGAGTTTACCCTCTTATTCCTGCTTTTGATTTAATTCATAATAGAACAATAGAGTGAAACAGCAGTCAGTGGAGGAAGTAGAGGAGTTTGTATATGAAGATAAGACTTTTACCTTGTCAGGCTTTTGTATTTTTACTCTGAGGCTGTACTTGTAAAATTCTATAGTCGTAATTTGATAGAAAGAACCTCTTTACAATATCTGATAAATAATGATTTATTAATTTTATTTAGATAAACAACAGGGTAAGAGAAAATATAGAACAAAAGAGATGTTTAATTGCTGCAGTTAAAGCTGGAGTGACACAAGAAGGAATGATGCTTTTTCAGACAATTAGTAAAACGTATGTATAATATTTTATTATATTGTTAGATTATATAATTTTAAAAAGTTGGTTAAAACTTACAAAGTTTTCCATTGATGTTTTCTGTAGTTAATTAAACTGTTCAGAAATTGTTTGAAAAATTATTTTTGTACACATAGCAAAGTAAACTAAATAATAATTATTGATAACTAATATGCTTAGCTTTTCATTCTCTGAGATCTTTTTGCTTAACCCATAAGTGGGCGCCCTTTTGCATTGAGTGCAATAGCTGGACAGAATCAGGTTTCTTTTACCCTTTTAGGTACAAGCCTTCAAATCACAGATATTCCTCACAAATACTCTCTGCTAGCTGATCATAAAATTTTTTTTGAAAATATTTGCAAATTCAATTGTAACCTGGATTTCCCGTAGTAAATACAACACACGCCCGTTGGTGTACCTACTATTATCCTGATCTCACTCTAAAACTGAAATACCAAATATAAGGACTGCTTTATATTATTTTTATTATTTTATGTATTTTTATAACAATAACATATTGTTATTCACATTAACCCTGTCTAGATTCATTTTTAATAATAATCAAATGAAGGGAATGGTAGACACTATGGGCTGCATGATAAAAGACTATTCAGTACCAAGAATAAAAATCTGGTGCGGTGCGCGCATCACACAACTTTCACTTACCACCCTGTTAGCAGAAATAAATATATTCAGACAAAGGGGAAGTGAAAGTAAAAATTATAAATGCTATATTGATTTATATTTCATTGTGGATATTTTTATTTGTTTAAGCACCCTTATTATACTAATTTTAATATTTATATCGCTGTAATCTATACAATTAAATATTAAATAGTACCAATGAAAACATTTAGGAAAACTGCATAACAACTGCATAAAATGCACATAATATTGTCTGTATTATATTAAGCTCATGTTATTATGGAAGCCTGTTGTAATCTTCGGATGAGCTCAGGCGCACTCTTGTATCCCTTTGATTCCTTCATTACAACTATTCCCTGTTACGATCTCTTATTTCTCCTGTAGTTAATTATCAATTTCTTTCATATATTATATATTTAACTATTATTTATATTAGAGATAAATGTGAAATAGTTAATTGTTTCAAATAAAAAAATTAAAGGTACTTTAGAGGAAGCTAATATTAAAAATTAGCCATTTAAGCCCTTTTAGAGAACATCAATGAGAATACAACTTACATTATATTAAAAACTGCTTAATCTTACCCTGATTTAATGAATTTAATCAAAATCGTTGGAGCCGTTTTCAAGGTATTCAAGTATCAGAGTACTTGAATATCTTCAGTGCTCGAACCACGCCTTGATGATGACCCACATGTTTGGGTTGAAATGTTGGCACTAATAAAAACTTTATAATGGCAGTGTCCTGAATATTTATCACCCATGATATGTAGGACAGTCGCCTAACTTCCTTCAATAATACTTTATTATTGTTGGTAATCGAACTTTCTCTTTTGCCTTGTAAATCGTTAACATACAATCCTGTGTTTAATAATTACTAATAATGAATATAGAACTTCTTATAGTATTTGCACATATCCGTAGTACAAGCCAGTTTTCACATACTGGTCTTAGTACATGGCTAAATATGTATTAGTTAATTTACTGACATGTTTTAAATCATGTGCTATATTAAATTAGTAGGATGCCAGGGCCTTCATATTTTAAGGTTCATTTTGAAAGGTAGTATTACATCCTGCACAATACAATCTATTTGTTCTATTTAGTTAATTTGTTCATTGAAGAGAAGTTGGTTGGGTTGTTCAGTTATAATGCAAAGTAAAAATAAATAAATGGTATTTATTTTTGCAGACTTTTCAGTCCAAAGTTAAGGCCTTTATCAGGGCTACAAAAAGACAAGATAACAATAGGTATGAGAAACTATTAACAGTTTAAAAGAAAATAATAATATGTAGATGAAAGGTATAGTTTAATAACATATAGATAGAATAAACTTAACATTAATAAATAAGTGGAGAGACAGAAATATGAAATATAAATAAAGGGAGTATGAAATAACAATAAGTTAGGAATGGAAAATAGCGGAAGCAAAGTTAGGATATATAACATAACGGTGACGAAGTTAGGAACATATAAAAAAAAATAATAACAGTAGCAGTGAGGAACATATGATATAAATGACAATGGCAAGAAAGTTAGGGACTAATGAAATAATCATAATGAGATTAGGTAAAAAACGGAATATAAAAATGTAATGGAGTATTATGAGATAAAAACATAAGTTTGAGACATAAAATAAATGGAGTGACATAGTTCCTAAAATATGATGTCTCATAATGATAAAAGGAGGTGAGATTGATATAGAAAAAAATGTAAAACAGAGAAAAGGAATATGAAGTTATATAAAGAAAATAATAGATGTAAATAGAAAAATTAAGATATTGTAAAATCTATCAAAACATACTGACTAAATAAAATCTAATTAAAAAGTTAAAATTATGTTAATTATGAAACTAAGATTCAATAAATGAATGTATCAATAAACACAAAGTAGAGGCAGAGATATGGAAGAAAAAGTAACAAGAAAAAGGTGAATGAGGAGAATACTGAGATGAAAGATTAACACCAACCTGATCTTACAAAACCCGAAACAAGATATTCAGAAAGGAAACGAGTAGGACTTATGTAGCGCCCTCTGTAATGGTTAACAGAAATACATGAACCTAATGCACAGAAAGTTATGTTATGGTTGAGAGATTTATAGTAGATAAATTTTATGTGCTTAATAGATAAATGTGTAATTGAATGGATATGAAAATAAGGTCTCTGGGGATAGTATAGTCCAGAGATCATAAATATTAAATAATAATGGAGTATTACTGAAATTCACGAAAAAACGTGGAATTAAAGAAAACAAAAAATAAGTTAAATGGAAATGAGAAAGTAATCACAGAAAAGAAGGAGGTAATAAAGTATGAAATTTAAGTTAATATGAATGAAAAAGGAGGTAATGTTTGAAATTGTTTTTTTTAGTAAGTCTTGTTATTTGTTAAATAGGATGCGATAACTAAAGTAAAGAATTATTTAATTTAAGTAACTAACAATCCCTTCCTTCTAAATTAGACCAAATTTACTTTAAATAGAGTAAACTAGAGTTTCTCATTGTTTAAACCATTTAAGGAGTAAGTAGGACTTTTGAGTGGCTAAACTAAGCTATGTTCTGTTTTTAAATGTTATTAGAGTAAACCTTTCACTTACATACTATTATTTTCTTTTTACTGGTAATAATTTTCATACCTATTGTTATCTTGTCTTTCCTTAGCCCTGATGAAGACTTGAATAAGGTAGGGCCGAAAAATCAGAAAAAATAAATATAATTTATTTATTTTTACTTTGTATTTTGACTGAAAACTCCAACATCTTATCTTCAATTATTCACTACATTCAAACATCAATTCACTATTATTAATTTATTAAAATTTTATTTATACATTTAAATAAATAAAATCATTTATTGAGTCAATTTGTTTCATTCAGTAATTGAGTGAGGTAAATATTTTCTATTGAACCTCCTTAATTGTATGTACAGACCAAGGATGTCAGTTCCTCGAATTAAATCTATTTGCTCTAGCTGATGCTTCAATTCAGTCAGCTAAAGTGAATAAACTTGACTTATCAGACTGACGTTCTTGGTAATTAAGAATATGTATGTGTACGTATGTACACTCTGTATAGAGTGCCTCGTAAATAGAGGGAAAGATATAAAGGGGTGATAACAGACCACAAGAGCTACAAAAAAATTTCCATAAACATTGATCCAATTTTTGATAGAAAAGTAGGAAATTTAATTTTTGCGTTTTTGTAATTAAGTCATGTTTGTTGTTGAATAGGAAGCAATAACTAAAGAAATATTTAATTGAAGTAATTAACAATTCCTTCACTGTAAACTAGACAAAACTTACTTTAAATGCAAGTAGAGTTTCTTGTTAAAAACCATTTAAAGAAGAGGACTTTTGAGCCGCTAAACTTAGCTAAGTTCTGTTTTTAAAAGTAAATTATAAATTATTCACTAATTATGGTACAGTTACTCCACTTTTAAAAAACCTTTCTCATTTAATAAATTTTAAGTCCTGATAGATTGGGTTGAGGTTTATTAGTATAAAAAAATTATGCGATTTCATATCCTGTCACCTAAATGTACTCGTATTTTCAGCAAAAATAACTGAAATAAATTATTTTAAAGTTCTAATTTAAAAAAAATAATATATATATATATATATATATTATTTTTATAAATTTCATAAAAAAAAAAGCGAATAATGTTTTTTTTTCTTGAGTCTGTTATTACTCCTATTAATATTTCCCTCTTCTTACAGGTCTTCTTATATATTATAGAGATGAACGTTGAGCTAGAATTTAAATAGATATTTTTAATTTTAGATACTTTTTAGTAATAAAGTGAGATTGATTATTAATGTTATAATATATTGAAATTGTGTTTAGTTAATATGTATAAGTTAATTTTATTTTTTTAAATCAAGTTAAAAATACTTTTTCATTTTATGTCTATTAGTTTAATTAAATAAAATGGACTATGATAGTTTTTCCTGAAAATAAAACAAAATATTAAGATGAATAAAATATATAATCAAATCTCTCATATAACAAATGGCATAAAGATCTATGAAATTGAAAATTTTTAAACACTGAAAATGAAAACTTGCTTATATTACAAAAATGAATACTTAAACAAATATTTTCAAGATAAATGAGAGAAAAAAAAAAAGAGGAAATACTTTCTATATTTTATTATGGGTTGGAAAGATGCGAACAGTTTTTGGATGGCTTAAGACACAAGACAATATTAGTCTGTTGGGTAACAGCCATAGTCAGATTCTGTCGTCAGTAATCTGCTGTCAACAAGAAATCTAAGTTGGGTTAAATATTGTAAACACCAAAGTTTATGTTTTCACGTTGGAATCGCTTAGATCAAAAGAAAGAATGCAGTATGAAAACATTGTAAATAGAAATTTTAATTATATGCTATGTAACACAGTAATCTTAAATTTTCACACTGTACCGTTGACCATCTAAAAAAACATTCTCTTGAAAATATGAAATAAACAAGAAAGTTTTCTTGGATAAAAACTTATTAGATATTTCATCAGATTGTATTAAATAGAATTTTTATTTTGGGGATTATTTCAGTCATTAATAACATTTGAATTAATAAACTCTACATAAAGATTGAAAAGTTGTTATCTAGGTGTGTTAGAACTGAAACACTTTCATTTTTAAGCATTGGGGATTTTTAGTATCAACTTTTAAGTTTAGGAAAACCTCTAATCAGTAAAATTTAATTTCATTCTTTTTTATTTTAATGTCGCCGATATTGACATTGCTTGTAAGATAACCAGTTATATTAACTTTTTTACTATTTTTTTATCATTTGTCATCTTAAGTTGTTATTATTAAATAACAAAATTAAGGTTTTTTGCTTAATATTAACTAAAGTGTATTTGCTATTATATACGTTCTTTATTACTTGAATTCTATTTCAGCACAAATTTACATGATTTTTTTTCCATGCAAGTATTCAATTGATCATAAGTATGATATTAATCAACTTTCAACATCTATCCAAGGCAATCATGGTAAATTTACTTACGTAATCAAAATGAAATACATATATTTTGCTTTTTTTTTCTTTACCATTATTCTAATTCTGGTGATTCTAGTGACATTATGACTGAATGAGTTAAGGAACTTAGTAACTAATAAAGATACAGATCAGATTTTTTTAATGTAATTAAACTTTGGTTTTAGTTAAGGTTTAACTAACCTTTTTATTTTCCTTTTAGAATTAATGAAGTTACATGGAATGGACCGAATATTGTGATCATGAATCAGGTCACGATTACACCTCCTTACAAAACTGAAAACATCAAAGGAGATAATCATAGTAAAGCATTTACACACATACGGAAAGTGGTAAGTTCTCAATGGAGTGAAGAGATCCCAATTTCTGGGACTACAGTCCCCTAAGAATAATAACAGAGTTACGTATTTATGAGTCGTAGTCTGGCTTAGAAGAATACAAAATGATGCCTAATAAACTCTCAATTGCTATTGCAATTGTGCAGTTGATTTAATTATTCTGTGTATAGACGCAGGTAAATTTTACTTGTTTGCAAAAGTTATATTATGCATTACTATTGTGTTTTTCTATTCCCAATTACTTTGTCAAAATCTTAATCACTATTCTATTTTAATAGTTTCTAAATGTTATTTGTATTTTCATAAGTTAAACTTTTTTTTTTTACAATGAAACATTTTTTAAAATAATAAGATTAGTTGAAAAGTGTGACCTAGAAGTTTACAAATTTAAAAACAAGACAATATGTTTGTTCATAAAGAATTAAGCAGTTATGTTCCATGATCTTGAACATGTCAAACTGAAGTTTCAAAAGCAGAATAATGCAGTCAAGTTATATAAGTTTGCACCAAAGACCAAATGCAGATCCATGTTACCGTATCTAATTAGATTGTTTTATTTTTCGGATAATGTTCTAGAATAATGAGAAATGATGAATTATTTTAAAAGATAAGTCTTAAATGGTTTTTGGTAAAATAGAGGAGACAGATTTCGCAATGAGGGAGAACAGTAAGCTATGAATATCTTCTTATAAAAGTGCCTGTAAACTGAGTACTTTGAATGGATGAGGGTTCTCAGTTTCTATCTAGAACTATCTCTTTAGTTAATTATCTAATTCATAGTTAATATTTAATCATTTTTTATTAATAGTTAAAATGTGAAATGATATTTTTAAATCAACAAAATTTATAGATGCTTTAAATTAAAGGTACCCAGCAATTGCATCCCAAATGCTTCAATCACACATCATAAATCTAGAAGAATGGTGTCAAAACTGGAGAATTAAAATAAACTCCAATAAATCCCACCAAATTACCTTTACCCTTCGTCGTAAACCAACGACTTCCTGTCCTACAGTTTCCTTTAACAATACTCCACTTATCCCTGTTGATCAAATCCGATACCTAGGACTCCACCTGGACAAACGACTAACTTGGAATCCTCATACTAGACTGAAACGACAAGAAACCGCTCGACGTTTCCGATTACTTCAGCACTTACTAGACAAACGCTCTAAACTTCCCATTAATTACAAAAGACTCATATACTTGACTCTAATAAGACCTATTTGGACTTACGGAGTTGAGCTATGGGACTCCACTAAACCATCAAATTCCTCTCGCATCCAATCCTTACAATCCAAAATCCTTCGTAAAATCCTCAATGCTCCTTACTTTGTCACTAATAAAATTATCCATAAAGATCTTAATGTTCCTTATGTTTCAGATCTGGCCCAATCCAGATACCTATCCTTCCATAATAAACTTCAGAATCATCCCAACCCTCTCGTTTCTAACCTTGCTTCCTCTTCAATTCCTGATAACCCTCCGAGGCGTCTGAAAAGAAGATGGCCCCGTGATCTCCTAATGTAGTCATATCATTAGAGTGCTACCATTGGGTAGTTACTCAGCAAGTGTATTAATGTCATTATATCAATTATGTCCAAATTTACTTGATGTATTTATGTAATACAGTTGTAAATGTCATAAAGAAATAAAAAAAAAAAAAATTAAAGGTATTTTAAATTTAAATAGAGTATGAAATTTTTAAATTTCGGCATTTAAGCCTGATCAAACTATTCCAATGAAGATAACACCTGCCTCATATTAAAGATTAAAGATCACTACTAAATTGTTGGAAGTTAGGCAATTTTAGCGAAACTTGGATTCAAAAGTCTTCATGATTGCAATACTTTCTCTTCCTACATATTTCATTTTTAGGTATAAGTGAAAGTAAAAAAAAAATTAAATAGACTCGAGGAATTAAAAAACCTTCCTTTTTTAAACCCATTAAAAATATTTAATTTCTTAAAATTTGTTTACTACTGCTGCAAATGTCCGAACAACATGCCCTGTATAACAAAGTGTCTTTATAATATAAAGAATGAGCTATCCAAACTCTTAGACATGAACAACTACAGATGTTTTCTCAAAGTATATTGTCTGGATACAGAATGCTCTGCAAGATTTGTTGACTTATTAGCGTTTAATGCAACAGAAAAGGAGGCGCTTATAGTGGATTCCACAATCAGGTTTGAAACAAATGATCAAGGCCAGGATGTAAAGGTGCAAATAGTGAAAGAATAAATTTACAAGAAATGCATACCCTACTTTAGGGATGAATTTGGAGGGAGAAACTTCTCAATTAAAGAGCTGTGGTTCAGAAGTATGAGAACCATCCTTTCTACTAAAATTGATTTCTTCTAGAAGTTCAGAGTTTGAAGAGAGCAGACAGAGTTAATGTGAGAGACTGCTAACTTAGACTCGTTGGTGATCCTCCATCACCAAATATACTAAGCTTTGCCTTACCTTGTTCGTATCTGTACACTGGTTTTTTAACATATGGTCAAATGGTCCCAACCAACTCTTTTGTTCTAGTTTTAAATGTCTCTTGAACTGATGAGTATGCTGTGTGATTTAGCAACTCGATGCAGTTTAGCAGCCATGCAATATTATTATTGTAGTTCTCTATTTCAGTTATGTATTCAGTTAATATATTTTTTTTCCTGTAGGTCGATAAACACCTAAGGGATACGCAGCTTAGGAATAAACAACAAGAAGCGGAAAAGTTGTCAGGAGTTGGTGGATCAACAGTAATGGCCCAGACTATACAGTAGAGGAGATTGAGCGGCCCTCAGGCGCGTGCCGAATATCAAGCTCCTGCTGTTCCCTGTAGCACCCATCAGCCCTTAGTATATTTATAGTCTATCATTAATGTACTCTACATTCTGTCTGATTTATTTTCGATCAGGTCTTCTGAATATTGTAATCTGTTTCAATAACGTTTATTATTGTTATGATAATCTCATAATTTTATTGTAGTTTACTTTATATTTTTACATAATTGTGAACAGAAAAAAAATCAACATGTTAACGGATGATACATTATGACAAAATCATTTTACGAAGACTCTGGTTATAAACTAATTTATATGAAATGTTACTGTGATAATATGGAAACTATGAGTTGACAGTAAATATTTAATATTCATTTACAGTGTTGTATATTTTGGCCAATAACATTATTTTCCTAAAACAGTATTTAAAACTGGGCTTGAGGGGTAGTATTCTCTTAAGTAGGTCGACTTGAATTTTGAAGTGATTCGATCCATTCGATTCATCATCTCTATACATTATTTTGAAGACAGACTTCGTTGTAGGGCTCCGTTTATAACAAAAATAAATAAATAAATAAAAACCTGTGTGTTACCATTATGTTATGAGGAAGTTGCAGAGGATTTGGTATATCTGTTTTTTGTATGTTTATATTTTTTAAAATAATTTAAAAAATTGAAATTAAAGTAGCAGTGTGGTTAGGCCTGCTTATGTTTTTCTGGCATACTCAGACTTAATTTATCATTGAAAATAAGTATTTTCAAAGATCTATTAAATAAATGTTAAATATATTTATGAGAACATTTCTGCTTATATACTTTTGTATATGCTGTTTTCCCATATTGGGAAAATTTGGTAACAAATATTTTTGAAACAGGAGCATTTTTTTTATTACCTTCCTCGAGCAATATAAGATTGTTTAGTTTATGTTTAAACTATTGATTTGGCTTGTAACTATTGTTATTTCAAACATTTTTGTAAATACATATATTATTTATGAGTTACTGAAGAAAACCATTATTGATCCTTTTTTGTTTTTATTGTATTTATTTTTTAAAGTTACACTCTAGAATACTGGATCCTGATTTTCCCTCTCCCCATTCACTACATACCAAAATAACTAGTCAGAGATCAATGCAGTTGTTGACTGCATTAAGTTTTTGTGATAAAATTAACAGGATAAAAGTCGAAAACCCTGGAATTTTCTGAAAATTTTGCAAAAGTTCCAAACTTTAATATCTTTCTTCAATTTTCATAATCTTTGAGATGGCTAATTTTGGCTACTTATATTTTATTATAATTTTGCTTGTTTATATTTTAATTTTAGGACAATTAAATTATCACCTAAATGTTGCAATAGTAATTAGGTCTTTATTGATAGCTCCGGTAACAATCGAGGGAAGTAAGAACTATTTTTTTTTGTAGATAAATATTTCAAAATAAAATGTTAGTGCACGTTAAGTTAGCTACACTTGGTTTAGTATCTTTTTCTGAAATTTTCTGCAGCAAAATATTAGTTAAACTATCTATATGTTAGGTTGATTTAGATTTTGATTTGATCTAATAAATTTTTAGTTTGGCTGAAGTGTGTACTTTTAAAACTCTTCATAGTTTATTTCCATTTTTTGATTGTGTGATAGGAGACTCATTACATTTTATATAACTCATTACTCTTTCACTAATTATTTGGAGAGAGAGACAAATTTTTCAAAATGGGATGACCGATGTTCAAGGCAAATGTGCTTAAGTTGAGAATGGAGAATGAAAATAAATAAGACATAAAACTTAAATGGAAGAATTTCTGAAATAAATGCTTCCTAAAATTAAAACCCATATGTTCGTCATCCTTAGGAATAGGAGAAGTTAATTTCATTTTGTTAATTCACTATCAATATTATTCGGTCTGTTTATTTATGATTCATCACTATATTAGAAATTGTTAAAAGTTATGGTAGAACTCACAAATTAGTTGTGAATTATAATTACCAAATTCACTTAATTATGGTGAATATTACTCAATTTTAATCCCACCACTGTTAAATAAACTGCAGTACCTTATAACTTGTTTATTGGTGCATTTAGGATTAGATTTTGTTTAATATATTACAAACTTAATTATTACCTCTTCAATCTCTACAGAAACCTCATTGTGGGCTTGTGCCAAATGTCCGTAATTTAGCGATATAAATAACAAAGAGATAATTTATTCAATAACAGGTACAACCAGTCCAGCTCCATGAAAATACCTGTTATTCCAATTGTCAAGCAAGAACCTGAGGTACTACTATTTGGGTCTGGAAGGAGGGGAAGAAAAATTTATATTGAAAGTTTAAAAAAAAAACATTTTTTTTTCCAGTTATTTAATAATGAAAGAATGCCTGTTTTGTGGTTTCTTATTTAGTGTTATGGTGGACACCTCTTCCTCCTCTCCTCTAAACTGCCTCAATAAAAAAAATTTAAATGAAATGATACTTAAGCACAATACTAAAGTCTTTACTATTTAAAAGAGTTTTGGAGAAGTTCTGAAAAACTGCTGATATATATTTTTATGGTTCTTGATTACAAGTTTCATAATTATTAATCTTGATTTTGTTTGTTTGATGAGTATTTTTATATGATTGAATTAAAATAGATAAGGTGTCCAACAAAATTCAGAACAATGTAGAAAAGAGAGTGAATGAAAATATTGGTTTAGGAAACCATTAGACATATCTCTTTCTCGTAATAAGTACAGATCATTCTTATTTTGTTCAAACCTGGTGCCTATGCTGTGCGAGTGGAAATACTGATTTAGGTATTAGCCACAGGTGGATTTACGAGGGGGGAGAGACTTTCGGGCTGAAGCCCCTCCCCAAAATGGTAAAATATAACCATGTTTTATAGAAAAAAATATTAAAAACTATCTCTTAAAGTATTGTTGTTCATTTAAAATCATTTAATAGGACTACAAGAATCAAATACCATGTCATATAGGTAGTTAGTTTCTTTATTTTTTTTCCGATTAATTATTGTTTTATACATATATATAAAAAAATATCTTTCGGGCTGAAGCCCCCCCAAAAATTAAATCCTGGATCCGCTAGTAGGATTCTAGCATTTCTGGAATGTGAATATGAGAAGCCTGTGATGAAATACTAGTTGTGAGATATTTTCAGAGCCATGGGAAGAAACCAAGGAATAATTTTTCTGGACCAAAATAAAATATTAAATTTACTTTACCTTGTTACTTCTAATTTATGGAAAGATGTTAAAAAAATATTATATTAAATATGTAATGTTATATAAATTTTTTTAATGCCCCCTAGCTCATATTTTTTACTTTACTGGATTTTCCTCAAGGTAGAGGATTAATGCTAGAGTTTTATGCTCCTGTTACTGGTATTCTATTTAGTAATCTTCAGGTTGTTAGGTACGGTATTTTTTGAAAATGCCTGCTCGACCATCCTGCGCTCATGTCATGTTATCTATTACCTATATCTCGTGACCCAGGAATATATCAATGTAGTAACTGACCAATGGAAACCTTTTAAACGTTCTTTTGTTAACTTAATTGATGGTAATGTAAACCTAACAAGTTCATATTAATTTCTCAATAAATTTGTTAAAACTTTGCGAATACATTGCAAAATATTTTACCTACTTTAGGAAATGTATAAAACTAGAAAAAAAATCCTCCACATTCTGCACAAAATTATCCATTAGAAAATCTTTTTAATACCGAATTCCTGTTGAACAATAGTGAAATATCAACATACTTATTTAATAGACTTGCTAAAGATATAGTTAATTTAGAAATTAAACAATGTTATTGGGCACTAAATTCTTATAACAAAATCTTAAATATCTTTTTAAATAACTTGAAAGCAAACAATGCAATATTATATGATCAAATTAATAAAATGGTGTAAGAATATAAAACCTGGTATAATGATTACCATAGAATGAAACTGACAATTAAAGCCAATAACACTATATTAAAAAAACATACAATGACTTTAAAAACAGTAAAACATTTAGTATTAATTAAAAAAACATAATAGTGGGTCAGATTGATAATAAAAAATAGTACATACCATAATACTATTCTAAATGCATATGAAGGATTACACAATAAAGACTGGACCATTAATACAAGGAACATGAATATACCGGTAAATGTTATAAATGTGAAAACTGAGTGAAAAAATTAATATAATATTATACCTAACAATCATGATAAGCAAATTATGAACATTATAGCTGACATCAAACTCATTATTACACCGATATACATGTCTGACAACCATCAAAATGCAATTTGAAATAAGGTCAACAATAATACTAACCAATTTATGGAACACCTCAAAAAAGCAAAAATTAAAATCTTTTACATGCTAAAATAAATAAAGATATTGATGATGTAAAAATATTTTTTTTTAATAATCTGAGTTACTTTTAATAAAATCTGATAAAAAAATAAATAATAAAACTGATAATTTCTAAAGACGAATATAATCATAAAATGCAAAACCTATTGGATGACCGCCTAACTTATTGTAGCCTCAGAAAAGATACCTCAATAGAAATCCAAGATAAAATTATAACATATATCAATAAATTATGTAAAAATAAATATATCAATGATAAAGTTAAAGATAAGTTGATAGCAAGATGTTATACAATACCCAGGATACATGGATAAAGTAAACTACATAAAACTGATAAACTCCTAAGACCTATTGTAAACAATATGAATGGCATTACCGAAAAATTTTTCCAAATTTTTAAATCCCGCATTAAACAATTTAAGCAATAATAACCCTTACGATACCAAAAATTCTATACAAGTTGGACAGTCGGAAATTAAATTAGGTAAAAAGCCGGTAAATAAAATTGAAAAAATGTATACTAATGCTAAAGACAATATACCGCGTGACATGGAAAGTAACGTTATTTATAAAATAAATTCTAAAAATTGGACTAATAAATCATATATAGAACAAACGTTACTATGGTTCGCAGAAAGAATAAAACAACATGAACAAAATTTTAAGTCCAAATCAAATATCAACTGGCCTTTCACAATACGCAACATTCAACAAACACCAATTTGATTTTAATAATCCTAAAATAATAAATAAGGAAAATAGTAACAATAAAAGAAAAATTAATGAGTCAATATATATCACTAAAAATTTGAAGAGTTCCGTTAATAACCATATAGACAATATAAATACCTTTTAGACAAATGTAATAAACAATATTCTCATATTATATAATAAATAATGTAAAAGCAATATAAAAACCATAATTTAGATTAAATAATACTCCATTACAAAACAATAGTAGAAAAATGCCTTCTCCCTTTGACCATCCATACCAAGACGATACAAATCAGTCCGTCAAGAAATAATGTAGGGGAAACTCTAAAATATCAGGACAGTTTTAATTTTCTCAGAAAAATGAATATGACATGAAATAATCGAAATTTAATGCAGGACTCAATAAGGTAACAGTCAAGTTTATATAATGAGTAAAATTACGTACATGATAGGCTTTTAAAAATTTATATATAGTGGAATTGTATGACATAGATCATTAGATTATATAATTATGTAAAATAAAATTAATTTTGTAAATGTAAATGAAATTTAATCTAACAATGACATTAAATTTTTCCAGACTTGAAAATGGCCTTAGTTTTGGTCGAAATAAAATAATAAATAAAACGGTCTTAATTTATAAAAAATAAAACCTCGAGACACCAATTCTAGGAATAATGAACAGAAGAGTATTACATATATCTTTTATTTTAAAGATTTAAATATATCTTTTATTTAGAAATTTAAAAAATAAAATCTTGTTGGCTGGGTCCCTGAGCTGCTCCTCTTATCACCATGCATGGAAATTGCTAAAAATGTAATTCAATGTCAAAAACCACATTTATTATGTTAATTGGTTTTTAAGATGAGATGTTTTAAAGGATTTGCCAAGAAAAACATATTTTTCTGAAATGTAACTAAACATTTCTCAACATTTTGGAATCTTCAATGAATTTCGTTTGTAATTCATACCAATTTCTTGGAAAAATTTTGCCAGTCATCTATTATATTTAGGTATGAAATTTTTTCTTAACTATAGTTCTTTTGAAAGGAGTAAAACTTGAACATTGTGTACTTAACATGTAACATAACTTTCCCAAGATTTCATATATGGCAAATTTATAAACTGCTTATATTGGGTTAGCAAATAACTCCTTTCGGTTTTTCTGCTTATTTTTATGTCATGATACACTTCTTATCTGATGAATTAATCCCTAAGATGGATTGTTTATTCTGTTTGTAATATGTCAACAACTATATCTGTTAACTCTTGTTGAAACTATCTTGGTATTGTGTTTGCTATTGCACTGTGAATATGTAAGAAAATATCATTCATTATAGACATATTTTGTTGTATTACTTTAAAAAACGTAAGCGTGTTGCAGAAGCTCGTAGAAAAATTTGCAATGTTTATGGGGATGATGCCTTTACCGAACACACCTGTCGAAATTGGTTTGCGAAATTTCATTCAGGAAATTTTGACATCAATGATGCTCAATGGTCTGGTCGCCCACATGAAATTGAAACAAGCAATATTAAGGCCATTGTTGATCAAAATTGCACCCAATCAGTGCGAGAGATTGCCATGGCCCTAAATATGTCGTACACAAGCGTAAAAAACCATTTGCACAAGCTCGGCTACGTTTCCAGGCTTAATGTTGGCGTCCCCTCACTCTCTAACAGAAGTCAACTTGGCGACACTCATTTCTGTTTGTGATTCACTACGGAAACGGCAACAAAACGACCCATTTTTGAAAATGTTGGTAACAGGAGATGAAAAATGGATTTTATGATGGTGTAGTCAGTAGAAAATCTTGGGGATCTAGCAGTGAGGCTCCTAGAAGAATGTCAAAACCTGGATTGCATCCAAAGAAGATAATGCTTTCCACATGGTGGGATTTCAAGGAGGTTATTTTCTGTGAGCTATTGCCATCTAGACAAACAATTGATTCAACTCTATTCTGCTCACAATTAATAAAATTGGATCAATCAATTAAAAATAAATGCCCAGAACTGGCAAATCGGAAGGGTGTTGTGTTCCACCAAGACAACGCCAGGTCCTACACCTCATTGGTACCTAGCAATAAATTACTCGTATTGAGCCTTAGATGAGACATTTTGCCTCATCTTCTCTATTCACCAGACCTAGCTCCATGTGGCTGCCACTTATTCCAGTCTCTGCAGAACTCCATGAATGGAAAGAAATTTCAAAAGGAAGAGGACATCAAAAACCACTTCAATCATTATGCAGTTATTGGAAAGATGGGAAAAAGTCATATTAAACAATGGTCAATATATTGTAGATTAAAATAAATTTTCTATAATACATTGATACATTGAGTCTATAATACATTGAGTTTTATTTATAACTAAATGAGCAATATTGTCGCCATGAAGACAGTTCAACATCATAGAATCCACAAAAATATGAATCCATCAAAATTAAGGAAACCAAAAGGCCCAGTCAACACACAGCTAGAGGCTATGTTCAGGAAGGCTGGTGGCTTAACTGCTGACAAATTCACAGAATGGAAGACGATTATAACAAAGGAGGATGCTGATTTATATGGGATCGTAGAAGCCGGTTCATCCACTGAAAATATCCAGTTTTACCAATTACCGGGATATTAAACTTATAAACTGCAGAGATCCAGGCAGTTTGCATCAGGAATAATTGTCGCTGCTAAATCATCACTCAAGGAACCTTTTCAATTAAAAAGAGGATGAAAGAGAATTATAAATTGGAGGCTGTACAGTTAAATGTATGGAAAAGGATTCATGGCGGAGTTGTATTGGGCTGCCAGGAGCCGAATGGCCTAATAGCCAACGGCAGAGGCGTTTAATAAAAAAAAAAGTTTTATTTCACGCTGAAAAATCAAAAGGACTTATTTGCCAACCCAATAGTTTAAGAAAACTGTTTAAAATAAATTTATTTTATTTCATCATGTAAGTAGCTGTACTTATTTTAAATATAACAAGATAAGTATAGAATTTATTTTGATCTTATTTCTGTGAATACATGTATGAGGAATGTGCCGATGTATTTTTTTTGGATCTACATTTTTTTTTTACTTTATTAATATTATTATACAGTGCCGGCCTTAGGGTAGGGCACCGATCTGGTGGGATCTTCAGGAGATCTCGTCACTTGTTAGAAATAAAAAAAACAATACAAAACATATTAAAATAATCAATTTTAGCGTATCAATAAAGTAACTGTATCTCAGAAATATTGAATGAAATAAAATAAAATTAAAAATTATATAATATAAACAGCTTAAGAAATAAATTTAATTTTTTTGGGAGGAAGGTTGAGTGAGAGAGATGACATTACCTGAGTGTGGCACAACTATTGTAAGCTCTGATTGAGAGTTATGAAATTCTATTGGTAATAATGATTCTAAGCTTATCATTTCTTAAAATATTGAGGATTCTGTTTCATTAAAATAAATAATAAATAAGACAATTCTAATTATTTATATTTAAGTTTATTATTATTAAAACATAAAATTTTATACATTCAATTATATTATAACAATATCTACAATCATATACTTAAAATTACAAGTAGTAAGTACTTTTAAAATGTCCTTTTTTTTTCTTTTTTTTTTTTTTTCACTACATTGAGTCACCAGCGCATCCAGGATTTAATTTTGGGGGAGGCTTCGGCCTGAAAGATTTTTTTTTCATATACATATAACGATAATTAATTTGAAAAAAAAAGAAAGAAATTAACTACCTATATGAAATGGTGTTTAAGTGGTTCTTGAAGTCCTATGAAATGTAATTAAACGAACAATAATACTTTAAGAGATAGTTTTTAATATTTTTTTCTGTAAAACATGATTATATTTTACCATTTTGGGAGGGAGCTTCAGCCCGAAAGCCCTCCCCCACCCCCATAGATCCGCCTGTGCATTGAGTGAACTATTAATTATTAAAATAAAATTAAACAACTGATTAGATTTTTGATATTTTTTATGTTTTTTTTTAATTTTTAAATATGTTGGTTTCAGAATACCATTTGGACAATAAAGTTAATTAATAAGTAAATACAAGCTAGGAACTGCTAGAAAAAACACAGGTACATGCTCACCTGGAAGTACTTATTAAAAAAAAAATAAATATCTTAGCAATTATTTTAATTATTTAAATAAAATGATTCTATAGTATACATAAGTCTATTGAATGTTCACTGGTAGTGGTGGTAACAAATAAAATAAAGTTATATCCTATACACTATATTACAAAATTCACTGGTATATTTTCATTTTTCTAATAGGTACATTAGATTTCCTATACAAATTATTAACTTTACTTACAATATCATACATATTCTCATTTCCTTATGATCATTTAAACTTTAATTAAAAAAAAAAAACATATTAATCAATGTGCTCAAAAATAGTAAAGACGTTGGAGGCTTATATACAAAAATAAAATTAAGCTAAGCATTATTGTAAAATAAATATATTTTTAAAATTAATTATTTGGATAGATTACTAGCTAAATATATATTTACATTAACTTTGTAATTAAATTAAATACCAACATAACCCAAAGCTACTAGGAACTTCTTTCAGCTTAAATCTTAATTTATCAAACTTGGCAAAGTCGATTAATTTTATTTATTAATAGAAAAAAAAAATTAAACAAAGAAAATTTAAACTCATATAATAAAATATTAAAGTTGCTTAAGTTCATTAATGATTAATTTTTCTATATATTAACAAGATTCACTGGGACATTAAATATAGGATAAATTTGAACATAGAAACCCTAAAATTATGAATCAATTGTAATACTTAAAATTAATTGCATCTTATTTCTTGTAAAAAAGAGGTTTATTGCAATATTGCAATGACTCCATCACCTGTATTGCCCTATTAAAAGGCATTTAAACATGAAAAATTTACAATTTTCTGGTTTGGGTATAAACCAATCTTTATCAGTACCAGGTATAAAATGGTTGTGGTCTTGGTTGAGAAAATGAAGAACTGTAACCAGAAGCACTCGTAGGGCTGAGTAGGGGCCCAGCGCTGCTGTGATGTGGAGGTAGGGTCGACCAGCTGCTCTGTCCTCCTGGGCTGTTCAAAGGAACCATGTCCGGAGAGCTGGCGACCAAGCTGTCTCCGCCGGTTCCTCCTAAAACAATTTTTTTCTTAAAATTGACTATAAGCATAGTTTATTCTGGTTGTTTCTCCCCTCCCCAAAAAATAACTCTATTCGATAATATGAGAGATTGACTTGCCGAAGCAACATATGAAAATTCTTTAAATATAGAAGATATGTTAACAACCTCATAAAATGATTAATAATCTTGTAAATAATTTTTTCATAGACTTCAAAGAGCACCTTTAAGATCATAGTATACTCAGTAAGGAAATTTTAATGAATATAGGATTCCGTTTTTTTTTTTTTTTTTTTTTTGTACTAGATGTAGTAAATTACAATTTTAAACCCCAAAGAAATAAAAAATATGTATGAATAATTTCTACATGAAAGGATTCTATTTTGATTAGGGGAAAAATTATTTTAGAAAAACATTTTTCATTTCTTAGAAAGCATTTCAATTTATAAGCACTTGGATTAAGAACCATACAGAGGTGAAGACATTTATTCTTAAATAATATTAAATTAAATACTGATTCCCCTCGAGCACGTATGATTTTAAATTAATATTATTTATTTTAAATAATTATTTTAAGCGTATTTATTAATATTTTTAACAAAACATGAGCTTACCAGAGTTAGTTCCCATGATAGCTAAGCTGGTAGGAACTGGTGACAGCATAGATCCAGGGCTGATAGGAATGGGATAAACGTTGTTTGTTGTTGTTAAAAGTCCAGGAGAAACATTTCCTATATGTTGGCCACTTCCGCCTAATGTCTGCATCTGAAATTTAAAATTCAAAACATTTAAACACAACGAGAAATCAAAAATAATTGTTTTATTTATTGAATAAGAAGTAATCATTCTTATTTTAGATTTTTAATTAAGTGCATTTTTTTAAAAAAATTGTTTATTTAATTTTTACTGTCCCTATGTTCATAAGTTAACTAAGGTCATGTTCATAAATAATTACTAAAAAGATCTATTTTCTCTTGCAATTATATATAAAAAATCTTTTAGTGATAATTGATGCTAGGTAAAATAAGAAAAGTTTTTCGTTTCATTAGGTTAGTTTAAATTCTAATTGAAATAATACCTTTTCATTTTTCAAAAATTAATGTGTAAATTCTGTAAACTTGGTATTATGTATGAGCCACATTATTAATAATTTTCTTTTATTAAAGCTTAATGAAAATGATTAAATTTCCTTCTAATTCTATAAAATAAATTTGCTTAAATGAAAGAGTTAGATAGTGTTATCACATAGGTCATAATTAAATATAGATAATGGTATAACAAAAATTGTAGTTCCTTTGAAAGCAATTAATTCATCATTTTTCTATTCATATATGATAACTGACATTATAATAAGGCTAAGTCTGTTTCAATATTGTTATTTTTGTATTATAAATTAGTAAAAATAGGTGACAAAGTCTCTAATTCCTGATGTGAATAACTGTATGTTTCTAGTTTATGTTGAGATAATCCCAGAATGTTAAGGAAACTTACTTGAGTAGTCAGAAGTGTTGTTGATGTTGATGGCGGATATGGATAACCAGTTCCGGGACTACTACCTCGGTCAGAGCCAGCTCCAGCATCTAATGAACTCATTACATGACCACCGCTGCTGTAGCCGCTGCTTGCTTCGGACACTAATGAAACGAGAATATAATATTGAGTAACCATAGGTAATGTGTAAAATCTTTAGAATGGCATATATATTTTTTAATTAAAAAAAAAAAAAGCAACATATGAAAATTCTTTAAATATAGAAGATTTAATGTTAACAATCTCACAAAATTATTAATAATCTTGTAATTTTTTTTTTCATAGATTTCAAAGAGCACCTTTAATATCATAGTATATTCAGTAAGGAAATTTTAATGAATATAGAATTCCGTTTTTTTGTTTTTTTTTTGTACTAGATGTAATAAGTTACAATTTTAAACCCCAAAGAAACAAAAAATATGTATGAATAATTTCTACATGAAAATATTTTGTTTTGATTAAAGGAAAAAATTATTTTAGAAAAACATTTTTCATTTCTTAGAAAACATTAAAATTTATAAGCAGTTGGATTAATAACCATAGAGAGTTGAAGACATTTATTCTTAAATAATAACAAATTAAATACTGATTTCCCTCGAGCATGTATGTTTTATGTTTATGTTTAGCATATTCTCAACGTATAATAATAATGAATTTTAATTGTTAAACTTCTCGTCAATGAAACATTTATTGATTGATTATATGTTCAACTTAAATAATTTACTTACATTGGGGGGTATGACCAAAAGTTGGAGGTTCTGGTTGTAGCATGTAAGTTGGAGGTGCTGAAGATGCAGGTGGGTAACTCATAGGAAGACCCATCCCTGCATAGCCAGATCCAGTGTTGCTTGCAAGTTGTTTTCTCAGTCTTGCTCTTCTGTTGCTGAACCACACCTAAAACATTTATATTTTTGTTTATTATTAATTCTTATATTGAATATCTAAAGAGAATGCTAAAATTACACAGTTTATCTTTGGTTGGTCTATTTCATGGATAAAATGTTCACACTGAGACTGCTTGGTATGATTCCACCTTCCTTAGTAAATAAAATAATTCCATTGACTGAATCTGTCTTTTATACTTTATGGTCAGTGTTCAGGTAGAAAGGACGTGGCCGAGAAATATGTCCAGAATTACATAGGAGCACAAATTAAGAAAGCTTTCTGTCAGAGGAACCTAAGCTGGGAACAGAAAAGAAGATTGGTGGAGGACAGAGATGCATGGAACTGTAAAAGCAGGAACTTCATATTGTAATGCGGTGAGACTAAACAGATTATCATGATAATAAAAAATCCATAAAAGGATAGGAACAGCTAACAGTTTTTTGTTTTGGGTTGCTTACTTAAAACTCCTACTTCTTTAGCTTAGTAATGTATTACTATTATTTTTAAAGATATTAAATACTTGATGGTCGACCATGGTATATTATTCAGTAAGGAGATGGTCTGAGGTGGCAGTCATAAAAAGATTAAAATAGTGGAAAAACCTTTATATTTAAAGCCAACGTTTTGACCCGATAATCAGAATAAAGTTGTTTTCTTAAGTGGATATAAAATATTTACTTCATAGTTACAATTTTTTTTTTCTGTTGCCATTACAGATCTCGTAGATCTTTTGCTGCCTTAACAAGCCTACTCCATTTCAACCTGTCTTGGACTACTTGTTTGCAGTGAATGCAGATCTATTGCATCTTTGTTGATTCTATTTACCCATCTGAGGCAATGTTATGTACAGGCTTCCAGAAGGATTACTGGAAGCTACATGCCCTGCCCATCTTAACCCCTGTGCCTTCATATCATGAGATATTGATTGACCAGTTTCTGTGAGCACTTCTTTTTAGGTCTTTTTTCTCCATGTGTTACTACTCTGATCCCCGATCGCTCTGATTATCCTGCAGAGGATTTTTCATCAAGTCTTTCAATTCTTTTTCTAGGGTGGTGGTTAGTGTCCAGGTCTCAGAGCCATAGTTATACACCGGTCTATTTCTGACCCTTGTTCATTCATTGTGGTTAGTGTGGAGCCCAGGTATTTGAATTTTCCTACTCTTGGAAACGATTCACTTCATTTACTTGTAGGCCAATTTGCCCTGCCTCTCTTATCAGAGCCATAGCGAGTTTCTCAATGTTGTCTTGATTACTTTCAAGAACAGCAATATCATCTACATATTTAAGGATTTTATGATTAATTCCGACATGGACCCCCCCATTTCCGTGTGATGTTGTTCTAATCACTAAGTTAAACATCAGTGATAGTCCTTCTCAATGTGATCACCTCTCCCACCTACAAAAATAGAGATAGGACGAAAATATCGTTTCACCCTCCTCCAATATTTCTAAGAACAAAAATAAAATCTAAATAACTAATAATTAATCTAAATAAATGAATAAAATATGTAAAATAAAAGTAATAACGAAAATAGGAAAAGTCGACCTGATGGCTAAACTAAGAAATAGCTACGAGAGTATTTCACCATCCTCCTATGTTCCTATTATTGAAGTTTTAGTTTATTTTTAAAGAAAAATTTAGTATCGTATACAAGCATTATATGATTTATTCATGTGCACCCTTTAACTTTTATGTGAAGATTTAAAACATTTCCGGAGGCAAATTTGAAGCATAGGAGAATTGAGAGTTTATCTCACTGCTTCAAACGTTTCAATAAATTAAAAAAAACATGTAATATATTCAGCTGGTTTGTTAACATATTTTCTAATATATTCGTACGCTAAAAAAACAAACTAATATATACCTAAATTTATTGGTTTATTATTTTAAATAACGAACCATTGTGATCGAACAGAAAATTCATAACTTAACCCCCTCTCAAAATTTGAGGTTTTAAGTTTCAGGATACGTAGAATTCGAAAAACGAATAAAATATTTTTTGTCCGTCCGCCGTCCGCGCATTTTCTCCAAAACTATTGGACGGATTTTTTCCAATTTGGATTTAAAATTAGAGGTTATACTGCAAAGGTTGTATCCTTTGTTTTTGTTTTTGATTTTTGAATGTGTTATTGAAGTAATGCTAATTTTTTTAGCATATTACTAATGATAAACAAAAAAAATCTGGTGTGTCTACTCACACGACTTTCCTACCTATTTCAGAAAAGTTTTTATATCTTTACATATGTTCATGAAGAAACAAAAAAGAATTAAACTAAATTTATTTTCCTGAAATTGATCAACAAAAGATTTGAGTACGATTAATTTGATAAATTAAGGCAATGAAACCGGCTTAAGGTAGATCAGTGTAAAAATTTCAATACTCACTAATATTGCTGATCAAAAACTTTTTGTCATAGCTTAGTATTGTCAAACAATAATTTCTATTAAAAGTAGAGGAAACAGTGAAGGATGTGTGATGCGGGCAACAGAATTTCTTAATTTCACTTACTCATCTTTATTCTCTTATTCACCCTTTTCTGACACCAGGAAATGAACTCGTAATGTTTCATTGGGAATTGAAAAGCTGTAACTTCGTTAATAGTTGTCCAAAATGTACGAATTTTTTGGGGAATTTAGTTTATATACGAAAGTTGAAAGAATAGTGATTAGAACATTATAGGAAAGTTTCATCAAAATCATTAAAGCCGTTTTCGCGCTATAGTCAATAGAAAAACATGTTTTTCATTTATTGCGCGCAAGCTATTGCGCATGGAGCAACGAATTTCTGTCACAGGCATCAGTAGTCAAAACCCTACAAAATAAAAAAAGAAGCAACAAAATCGGTTCAGTAGTTCCCGAGAAAATCTTGGCACAGACAGGCAGACAGAGCAATGGCTAAAAATGTGTTTTTCGGACTCAAGGGGCTGTGAAACGTATAGATCCGTCAAAAACCGAATCTCGGAAATTTGACCCGATTGCAATACTTTCCTTACCTAGTATAGGTAGGATAGGTTAGTCCAATAATTGAAATCACCTTTTATATCTTTTTCTTTGTCACTAGAAAGGATATATTACTTTAGATGTACAATTGTTTGGAAATAATAAACCATTGTGAAATAATATGCAGCGTTTTTTTATTTACAATAATTCTATTGGTTATGTTGATTATCACTCATAATTTTTTTACATATTACATACGCCCGAGATTTTTTTTTTTGATGGGATGATGGTCTATCGTCCACCCAAACGGAATGAAAAGTCTGCGTCCTATGGTTGTCATTTGTGGCAGTAATATTAAGGGATATTGGTTAATAATAGCTGATAAGTTATAATGCGAATAATAATTTGATTTCGTATTGATTGTAAGCGACAGCTTTAGCTGCGGTATGTACAATTTTAGTAAAGAGAAAACCTTGAAAAGTTGCGTGCTTAACTACACAACTCAGAACACGTCTCAATGTTTATTAACCTGGTAGCTTGTTCGCCCCACTTCACTGAGCCAGCAAGTTACCATCATAGTAGCTCTCAGATTTGAGCACATCTTAGAATTTTACATTCGGAGGGGAAATGAACTCCGATTATTTTCTGTTATCGAAAAAAAAAAAAAAAGTAAATTTAAAAACGTCAATAATTCAAATTTAACCTAGCTAATTCGGACTGAATTCCGTTTACGTTTTGAAATTTTGTAAAGTTAATATTAACCTAAGCGGCTGTCTAGGGCGGTAAAGTTCAGTGGCGAAAATTCAATAGAACATTTGGTGGGAGGTTTTTTGTATTTTGTAGGATATATTCATAAGTCTTGACATGTCAAAACTAGCTAATGAAAAAGCGAATTTGTAAACGATGCTAAAATTCGTCCCGAGCATTGTAATTTATAAGTTTCATAATGATAGGATTAGGAAAACCGAAATATTTTTTACATAGCGCGCCAAAAAACTGGACGACGTACTGTTTATCATAGTTTAAAATGTACGCAAATCTAGTTCTCATATATAGAATAAACTTTTACCTGTATCCTAGCTTCGGTGAGCTTGGTCCTCTGTGCCAACTCTTCCCTGGTGTAAATATCGGGGTACTGCGTCCTCTCGAAGGCCCTTTCTAGCTCGTCCAGCTGCTGGGCTGTGAAGGTTGTTCTGCTACGTCGTTGCTTCCTCTTGAGAGTGATGCCCGGTTCGGAGTCACAATCGGAACCCTCACTTCCTTTCCCTGGAAACAGAGAACGAATTAGGAAAACGTTAAGGATAGAAAATTATAGGCAATCAAAAGAGAAATTTGAGGGGCAATTCGAAAAAAGTCTATTTAAAATAAGTACCAAAATGATCCCAAACTCGAACGAAATGCTTTATATTTCAGTATTAACCCTTAAATCTGTACTTGTTGAATTAAGTAGTTATATTGAGTGAATTCATTTTTTTTTTTTACTTCCTGGGCTTTTGATGGTGGAATAGATTCGAAAATTTGGAAATTATGGTTCTACAAATTTTTAGCAGTGATTATAGACTTTGGGAAATGTAGGTAATGTTAAACCTAGTTTCCATGATCAGCTCTAGTAAACGGATTTAGAGGTTTCAAATTGAGGTCAATTAGAGACTTTTTTAACATGTGTGATAGAAAAACTATGTTGGCTTCACTATTTGAGAGAGCTTTCAGGCTAAAACCCCCTCCCTCTCTTCCCCAAAATGATAAAATATATCCATGTTTTATGAAAAAAATGATGTCTAAAAGTATTATTGTTCATCTAATTACATTTAATAGGACTCCAAGAATCACTTAAACACCATTCCATATAGGTAGTCAGTTTGTCCCTTTCTTCCGAAGTAATTATCCTAATATATACATACAAAAAAAAAAAAAAAACTTTCAGGCTGAAGCACCCCAAAATTAAATCCTGGATCGGTTAGTGCTCCATCAGATGGCATGCGACTTCCAAAGGAAAATAAAAACACATTTACCTTCCAAATTGTAGCCCAAATGGTGCCAAAATAACAGATTGGGTTTTGAACTGTAAACAAACTCTTGTTTTATTTCAAACTAACAAGAATTGACGTCAGAATCGAAGTTCAAGTTCATGGGAACTAGAGTGCACATGACTAGAAAATGGTTAAAGACTTTTACGTTAATTCCAATTAGCTTAGATTTGAACTATTTTGGTCGCGTTTTGGACCAATTTTCGTTAGTATCTTAGGTCAGAATCAAAAAACTTTTTTTTTAAATTTTAAATAAATAAAAAATTTCAGCGCCGTTGGACAGTGCCAGTGATGTCATGTATCGTCATCGAACGACGGGTGTGTTGACTGTTGCGTCAACTCCCTTAAAAGTTAAAATATTGTTCACGGTATTGGACGTAGAAATACTGGAACATCTGTATACTTACTTATAGCGGCACTTATGAAATTACTTATTAAGTAATGTGATCATTTTAATATTCTTGTTTTATTATAAATAATTAAGTTTAATAATTAGGGAGAGTTTAAGATTTTTTGGTATGATTTTTCAAAACAAATACTTATAAAAACGGATTTATTTAGAAACATACAACTACTACAAATTTCATTCAGCAGATCATATTTATTTTCGATTATATATTTAGACTTTGTGAAATTCTGAGAAAAAATATTCAATATGGGTATCTATATGCATGTGTGTGTATATATATTTTTTTCTGTTCTTTTCTCTGAAACAGTTCTATAAGAGAACGATAGATAGAATTTCTTAAAATTTTTTTTGAATGAAGGATCCGGAAAAGTTTATAACCAGAATGCATATCGCTTCTTCTTAATGTTTTTAACGAAGTTAAATCAAGTCTCTTTGTTTTTAAATATCGCCTGATACAACGTAAAATTAAGTTAAGTACTTTTTAAATTTAATACGAATATCTTGTCACATTTTCATCATTAATTCGTTTCTTAGATCGTAATTTTCCCGTTTCAAAGAAAGTTTGAACTTTCCCAGCATACCAACGGTTGTTAAAAAAAAAATCACTATCACATATAATAAGTTTCTGCACAGAACAAACGAAGGGCTGAGGTATATATTTCTTTAGAAAAGGAAAATGCAATTTCCGACAAATGTATTTATTTTTTATTTTACGAGAAAGGTTCAATAAAAAGGCTGATAAAAACAGTAATTCACTTGGAGGGTCGGTGTCGTAAATGGCCCACGTTCTTGGGTCAATCAGTTACTTTAATTAAAGTAACTACAAGCGAGTTTGTTCTTTTTATCAACTCAAACTTTTTTCAATTTTCTATTTTTTTTTTTATATCTATCAACAATTAAAAAAGAAAATGCATATTCCGACATCTGTATTAATTTGAAAATATTTTATTAGTCATTCAACAGTTTTTAAAAAATATTTTTGTAATAAGTACATACTTTTTATATTTCATGATCGTTTCCAGGAATGTTTAAAAAAGAAAGTTTTGGATCTGAATATAGTCAATAAAGTTTTACATAAAAGGCTATTCTTATTTTTCTAAATTCCAAAGAAGTTTCATCTAATTCCCTTCATCGATATTTAAAAAAGTTCTTTAATATTTTTACATTATTTGTCAAGTGATTCCTGAATCAATGTTTAAATAATAAATATAGATATAAATGTTTTAAAAATTGATAATTTTAAAAATATTACAAGTATTACTTCCTATAATAAAAATTCATATCGTCAGGGAAAAATGACAATATTATATGGTAATAAATTAATTTTTAAAATTAATGAGAAGAAAGGAATTAATTTTATTTTAATTGGGGTTTGATTTTCGTTTTGTATACCATTAAGAAACCTTTAAAATTATTGTCAGAATAATTAACCATAAATTATATATTTTTTGTTATACGTAAATAGATTTTCCGTTTCTTCATAACTTGTTTTCCCGATTTTTCTAAGGGATATGCTTATTTGTCCCACATGAAGAAGGAAATAATTGGCTTGTTCGAAGTAGGTGACCTACATTAAATTAGTTGGTGTCCACCGGAAGCAAAATTTGATGCTCTACAACTTTGATTATGTGGGTTTATCCTCTTAATCACCTCATTTCGAAGTTGCAGGGCCATTTATACTAATTTGTCTCAGTTTTTGACAAATTTTTAAAAATCAGTGTGGTTGACCGTGGTTTTATACCTTAACACGTAACCAAATTATAAAGTTTATTTACTCGTTCGACGGACAATTTAACGTTCTTTATTTTATTTAAGAATACATTTTTCGCTTTGATGCATCGTTTAGGAGTTATAGGTGAAGAAACTAAAAAATATCTAAAACAATATGACTTTTTTGGCTGTAAGAAGTTTTCCCTTGGTGGCTCGCGTTAGCAATTTTGTTTTTTACATGTCTAAACCCGTATATGCAAATTAAAAAAAAAAGAAAAGTTTCTTACATTTTTCGTATCGATCCTCAAATTACTGGCCTAATATTCTTTAAATCAGTCGCCATTTTTGAAAGCAGCGGCTCTCGGACAGCAGACAAGGTTCTTTTTACTCAGAATAACATACCCTTTCGTAATTTACAATCAAACCTCCACCTACAATTATAATTTTTATTCCATGTTTATTTTCAATTTTTTGTTTTTTATTATTAATTGATCTAAATTAGAAAGTAACTTATATTTTTTTCTATTATTTTTGTTATTTTGACTATTTAATTACTCTATATTTTTGTTTATGTATCTCTAAGGCTCCTTAGCCCACATTATTGTTTTTCTATATTATTCTCAAGGGACTCGTCCCAGAATAAATAAAGCATTATTATTATTATTATTACGATGAGGTCGATTTTTGGGCCCTGACTCCTGGGCTATACATACATACTAGTTCAAACTTCAAGTCCAGTGTATTTGCTCTTCATCTAAATCTTGACAGAGGTTTTATGTGACATTGGGCGGCTAATTACTGTATACTGTAATAAATAATTAAAGGTAAAAGTGTAAATTATCATTAATTTATTGACATTTAGGTAGGAGGGTCGTTATGGCGGCATTAGGCGGCGGTCCCTTTGATCTCGGCCCGCGAGGAGCGCCTCATTTGTCTAGTCGGCACGCCCAGCCATCTCGCCTCTTCCTCCGCCACAGTTTTACAGCTTGGGATTTATTTATTTTGGTTTTGAGCTACATGTATTAAACTGTTATCGAATAAAAACAAAAAATACATGAAGGCGATGTTTCTGAAATACCATCGGAACGAATGAAATGGATATGTAAAGTTGTCGGTATGGATAATGAACAAGTCATTAAAAGGATAACCAATACTAACCAGGCGAGTATATGTCCTATGGGTCGACAGAAACGTAAGTGGGAGTACCAAGTCCAAGAACCAAGCATGAGTACCACGCATGAAAGAATTTACATACATGAAGGCTGATAGGCAAGAGTTGATCTTCTAAAATAACTAATTATTTTATTTAATAATTTATTAGTAAAGATTGATGTTTTTCAAAACATAACTGTTATTCTTAATCTGCTTCTGTTATTTTTATGATGGGAGGCCAAGAAAAGTGAGAACTCAAAGCATTAAAATTTCGGAGCCTCTTCTTCAAGCTTCTTCTTCTAAAAAGTTTCAAGAGTAAATTAATTTATTAACACTTTGTTTTTTTATTTGCTGGATTAATTTATGGAGCGTTTTTTTAAAATCTTTCCCGTCATTTCCAAGATTTTTTAATTACTGATATTGCTGTCCGGTTGTTTTGAGGCAACTTAAGCCCCCTTACAGGTTAATTTCTCCGAGATTCTTAGTCAATTTGTCCTGAAGTACTTAGACGTTTTAAACGAAATTGAGTAACGGGTTGAATATTTCAACGTTGTAAAATACTTGAAAAATTTACTTTTTGTTATGAAAATGAACAGACATGTTTTCGAGTATTTTTTTGCTAGACTATATTGGCAATGGAAGGGCCTTTTTAAGTATATTGAATATTGTAAAATTTATTCTTTCCACACCAGCCATAGCGATGGAATGTAAATCGATTAGACACGTTTTTATTGGATTATTCTTTTTAAGTTTTATATGTAATTATAATGTTATTGAAATGTATACGTATATGTGTATTTTCTTGGAGACTAAATTGAAAAAGTGAGGAAGCTACATCGACACTGATTTACATTTTTTCAACATGGTTTAAGCTATGGAAAAACCAATATACATACCAATATACATAACTTTGAGTAAAGACATTTTAGTGATGTTTCTAGTTGGAAAATTTATAATATATGTACAGACAGTGAATAAGTTGATTCCAGAGTAGGTGATTGCAGTGATGAAATATAGAACTGTGAATAAAAGTATATATTTTTCCACAAGAAGTTTCACTAAAATTAATAATCAAAAATGTTTAAAATGGAGTAAGTCATTTTATTTTATTTTTAAAAAAATAACAATCTTGATTATCAGCACATTTTATTTATTTATTAATTTTGTGTGTGTGTTAATGGGGTTGCAGTTATTTCCTCAAATTTAAATTTCAAATAATTTCTAAATCAATGCTACATTGTTATTTATGTATTTTTTTTTTATTATTGAAGATAATGAATTTATTTCGGTAACATTTACATGTTTGTGTTGAAACATCTACGATTTAATGAAGATAGGTCAAACGGCCCCATAATTTGTGTAGGCGACTTTTTTTTATCGATTTTGTGATAAAATTATCTTACTATTGAAGAGGAAATCAACTGGGTAATTCGGAGTTTTTAGTAGCTGATTAAATAGGCAAAATATGCAGACCTCCAGATTGAAAACGCCCCAATTCCGAGAATTTTCGTAAATAAAATATTTTTAGGTTACGATGAGATTAAGCTATATACGAAGTTTCAACGGGATGTTAATAATACGATAAAAAGGGTACCACGGACTATAATTACAAGTCGAATACTTTTTGAATAGAAAATTTGTTGAAGTCGTTTAGAAATATCGGAATTTTTATATCGAAGAGATTAAAACTCGTATTCAAAATACCATTGATGTTTATTTATTAACCGTGTCTTTATTTGCTAACGATTAATACCATGAATGAAAGCAAACGATTATTCTGCTAATCCCTTAAGGTGGTAGTATATACTGTTAACTGCAGGCTGCCTAGTTGCAACAATAAGCCTATTAAACGGTTATTGCCAATTTGATACGGTTTATTGTTTATTGCTGTATCCTAGGAGACCGGACATAAGCCAGGGATAATTTTTCATTGGTCACGGATATTTTTTTCCTAGCCAGTTGAGCGAATGATTGCGACAAACTGGCCTAACAGCCGAAATTTCAGGAAAAATGTTTAACTTAATCCTACAGTAAAAATCCTTATACATGAGTATATTTATGTGTGTGAGTGTGAGTCTATTTAATTGCATCTAAATAGTCAGTAATAATACAGCTATCAAAATCCCTCTATAACCTTCTTGTATATTATATTATATGAGCCTTTCAGTTGACAGAATGAATTATTACTCCAATTACTCCAATTTCAACATTTTTTATTATTAATTTTATTGATACTTCTAGTAGGAAAATATATACCTTTATTCACAGTTCTATATTTCATCACTGTAATCACCTACCCTGAAATCAACTTACTGACTGTCTGGACAGATATTATAAATTTTCCAACTATAAATATCACTAAAATGTCTTTACTAAAAAATTGGAGTTAGTCATTCTGTAAACAGAAAGGCTCATATATTAATATATGCTTATTCACTAGTAGAAATAAAACCCCTCTGTGATGTAAGTAAGTATATTTATTTAATTAGTTATGTAGGTATGTGAACTGGTTTTTCCGTAGCTTAAACAATGTAAAAAAAAATGTCTGCCATGTAAATCAGTATCGGTGTAGCTTCCTCACTATTTTTATTGAGTGTCCAAGAAAATACACATATACATTTCAACAACATTATAATTATATATAAAACTTAAATAGAATAATCCAATAAAAACGCCTCTAATCGATTTATATTCCATGTCTATGGTTGGCTGGGAAAGGATAAATTTTAATAAATTAAAATTATTGATGATTAATATTTGGTAATTATCTAAAAATGTCAATATTCAATATACTTAAAAGGGGCCTTCCATTGCCAATATTTTTGAGTTCATATTCTATTGCATCAATATATTGACTGTCTCAGAGGTATGTTGAAGCAATTAAATTGTTTCAATATTATTGACTCAAATAACTAACCAGCTAACTTTTTGTAAACTTGAACCTATCATCCGCGTAATGGAAATCGTAAAATCACATAATGCGAACTAGAAATAGCACATCTCAATTCAATAGATTAATAGATCTGGTATGTTCACTCACACGACTTTCCTACCGATTTCAGAAAAGTTTTTATATCTTTAAATATGTCCTTTAAAAAACTAAACAAAAAAATAAATGAATTAGATTTATTTTCCTGAAAATTTATCAAAAAAAAAATTTGAGTACGATTTCTTTGATGAAGTCAAACAATGTATACTGGCTTGTGGATGATCAGCGTTACACTTTCAAATTTCTAATCAAAAACTTTTTAGCAATAGCCCAATTTGGCAGACAATAATTTCTGTTAAAAGTAGAGGGAAAAGCGAAACTTGTATGATGCGGGCACAAGATTTTTTTACTTTCACTTACTTTTATTTTTCCCCTCTCTTTCTGGTTCGATTCCGATGAATTTTTCGTTTGTTATACTTAGCAAGTTAGGCCTCAAAACATTTCTCTTTTCTATATAACTTATTTACATGAATTTTCATGAGAATTTAGTACGTTTACGTAAATTTAAAGGACATTAATTAGAAAATTTTCATCAAAATCGTTAGAGCCGTTTTTGCACTACAGCCTATAGAAACATATAATAAAATAAAATAGTTTTGCCACTATTCAGCCTATTTATGACCGCCACCCCGGACAACATCCTTCCTTTATAATGCAACGATCAACTATTAAATATTCAATATAGAAAAATATGTTTTTCATGTATGGTGGAGCCGCTATTGCAATAGTCAAAACACTACAAAATTAAAAATGTAGCAACAAAATCGGTCTAGTTTCTGAGATAATATTGGCACAGACAGACGGACAGACCAATGGGTGGAAAAGAGACGTAAAGATTCGTCGAAAACCTTACATTGGAATTTTGAACCTATTGCAATACTTTTCTTACCTAGTAGAGGTAAGAAAAAAAAAAAAAACTAATTCCATTGAGATTGATCATTACTCCCAAACGGTTAGTTAATTTTCTTATTTATTAAATATTATATTAGTTTGAAACCATAAGTGGATTTACTGGGGCGGGAATGAAGTTGTATTTTTAGATTGAAACTAATTCGCAAGTATAAAACTGACAGCTCAATTAACCGCACATAAATATAATAATTATCGTGACTCAGTTTTAACCAAATCCGCTCATGGTTGTTGCTATTTAAATAGTCCCAATTCTCTTTCAATAAATTATCTAAAGCAAAATAAATAAGTCTCTGCACAGAATATCATTGTCATTGAAAATTATTGACTTTAATAATTGACTCACTTTGAAAGATGCGGTCCTCTCACTAGATCCGATATTAATTTTGACTGCGCCGAACTGTTGGGTTTCGTGGCCGGTACTCCAGGTGTGAATGGATTTCCATGGAAAGGGATTCGATTAGGCCAGAAGTTGATGGATGCTGCGAACCACCGTACCAGGTGCTTCGGTACCTCCCCACAAATTGATTCCGATGCTATTAAGCCTCTGGCCAGGCAATTATATCCACACCTACCCTCTGATCTGGAGATCGGGGATGATTCACATTGGCAATCCTCCTAACAGCTGGAGACAAGGATAACCTCGATGGAGCACATGCATAAGAATGTGACATCGTATAGGAGTTAGCACTGAAGTCTTGAGTTGATTAAGAAGACCTAAAGGGCTCATATTTACAAATTAAAATTTTATAAAGTGGGTGAAACTTCATATTTTACCACGAATTTTAATATATAAATTAGCTAAATAAGTGATCAGCTTATACCCCTGGAAAATATCCCTTCAGATCCCTGAACTTGTATTAATCCATTATTGTACTCGCTCAAGACCAATTTGTTTAGCAAAGAAGTGTCTTGGTCTGTAGTTGTCTCATTAAGAGTATTGAAGCCTAATACTGACAGTATAGAAACCATAATGAATATTTTTTTATTTATTAAAAATATAAAATGTTTCTTCCAGTATCATCCTAAATGTAAATTAGGAGTAGATCAAAGTTCTATTTACTTTTCCCGTAGATTTTCACTTCGTAGAAGACTAACATACATAGCATTATTTTAATTTTTAAAATGTAAACATGATAAACATCCCTTGGTAACTGTAACACCTAAGATTATAAAAAAAAATTACGAAACGAATTTTAAAATAGGATTTTTTTAAAGCTTATTATTACGTGCTTAAGGACGATGAACCTTTAATTAAACTTTTTTAGAAGAATTGTTTCCTATTTATGATAACAAATACATAATAATTAGTTGGCCCGTGTGAATAATTCGCAGAAAATTTTGTTTTGTGAAGGAAGAATAGCAAAGCAATGTAGAAATAAGTAGATCCTATGTATTGTGTAAGGGAGGAATAAATTGTTTTCCCTGTGTCGATTATAATATTCCATTTAACATAATAGACCAAAATATTTGTACAAATTGCTTTGCTAGGGTCTATTTCTTAACGCTGGCTGAAAAGGTAGCATTCAAAATAAAGCATCGATCATGTGATTTTCTAAATTATTAAAAAATATAAAATGTACAAAAACAAAATGCCTTTAAGAAATAATAAATCATATATCAGCCAGAAAAAAAAAGGTGGTAGAATAGTAAATGCAGTATTTTGAAAGAGGAATAAATTATTAAGTGTATCAAAACAAATTGATTATATGTTTGTTACTAATTGTCCGATTTTTATAACTTTTTTTTTTGTATGTGATTTAGTAATATTTCTAATTATTATAAGTACAATCAAGAAAAAATGCATGGTTTTTGTGTTTTCGCAAATAATTGGATTTGATAAAGAATTGACAAAGTTATGCCGTTGCGACAAAAAAAAACACCTTTTTGAAATAGTACAGAAAATAAATAAGGAATAACGTACGAAATTAGTTTTAACATTAATTAATTGAGTTATTGTAAAGGGTAAGGTTTTTACATTTTAATAAAATCATTCGAATTTATATTATATTAAAAAAAAAATGGAGTGGAATATGTAAGTTCATAAACTATTGTAATTTCTTTTAGGTGACGAGAAAGACAATTCGACGACTTTAAATGCCTGAAACACTTTGTATGGTAATTTTTAGTTAATATTTATTGCAAAAAGAGGGCTTTAAAACATAGGGTATGAGTTTTAAAACCTCTTAGTTTTTTCCATCAGTTTTGTTGTTGTACTACGGTTTTAGATTTTGAAATTGGTACATGTCAGGTCTCCATGAAATTCCATTTCGTTTAATCAACCTTAGCCATCAACCATCAATCTCATTAATCAAAATCCATTGCTCCTGAGAGCTGAAAAAGGAAGCTTTCCAACTGCATTAAATATAATAATAACAATAATAATAATATTTTATTTATTCTGGGACGAGTCCCTTTAGAATAATACAGAAGGACACAAATGTGGGCTAAGGAGCCTCAGAGGTACATAAACAAAAATGTAGAAAAATTTAGTAGCCATGATAAAAAAAATATAACTTACTTTCTAATTTTAATCAGTTAATAATACAAAATAGAAAATGTAAAAAAAAAAAAAATGAAGAACGATCTAATAATTTATATACATATTTACGGTATTATCTATTTACAGTTTTATGAGAACTGGATGGATAAGAAATGATTGAACAGGCGGGACTTAAAGGTAGGAAGGGTATTGGATTGACGGATGTGGGAAGGGATGGAGTTCCATAGGGATGAGGATCGGATAATGAACGATCTGTTGAAAGCAGCGGTTCGGTGTGTATAAATTTGTATAAATCTGAAGACCGGGAGCGAGTATTGCGGGAACGAACAGAGGATTTGAATTGAAGTAGCTCAGGGATGTATGAAGGACGGCGGGATTGGATGAATTGAAAGTGGAAGGATGCTAGGAAATACTTACGACGGTAGGAAGGATAAAGCCACTTCAACTCTGCATAAAAACGGGAAACGGAGGAGTCCCTTGGGATCCCTAAGATGAATCGTATGAAGCAATTCATCAAACGTTTTAGTGCTTATGTTTTTTACTAAGTACTTTTAGAGATAGAAAGAGGGAAAAAAGAACACCAATAACAACCAAGTGAATTACTTTAATCGATAATTCTAATATTGCCATAAAGAGGCTATAATAAGAGATAATTACAGTCGATTTATGGCTTTGTTATAAAGTAATTACGATCCTCAGAGGTGTAAGAGTTAATAATTTTAATGGAAACTCCTTTACAAATAGGTTAAAATTCATTATTTTAATTTATTCCGCGGCATTATAGGCCCTGGGGGGAACTCTTTCGGAGCAGGTACAGGTACATTAAAACGTTTTTTAATTTCGAATAAATTGCTATAGATTCATCAAAGGCGGCTCATATTCATGGCGACTCTGGAGGAAATTGAAAGTGAGATGAGTTTTCTCGCATCCCGGGATGGGAACTGTTAATCAGTGTCGTCCCAACTCTTTCGACATATATCCTTCGTTTCGATTTATTCCTCATATTGTTTCGATTCGATTCTTATCGTAACTGACGTTTACAATCGATTAAATAAACGCATGGACCTTGCCTAGGATTTCTCGTTTCCGAGGTTACGCTTTTACAAACTTCTTTTGGCCTTCTTATTTTTTTTTTCGCTTCGTGCAATTCCAAAATCGTGTAATGTGAAATATATATTAATGAACAATTCAGTCTGAAAAATATTCAAAAATTTATATTAAAATAAAATCAATTTATGTTACTCTGAGCATATAGTCAGCGGTGCCCGGAAGGCGTTACTTAGAGGTTGAGCCATCAAACTTTTTGAGAGGGGCTCATTTTGACGGTGTTTGGAATTTTTGAGGGTGGAGCATGTATTTTTCTCATTTATTAACTCTTTTTTTTTTTCCTCGGTAGGCAAGAAATATGTTGCTCTTGATAATGTTAATGTCAAAAAATAAAAAAACATGTTAGCACCCCAACTTAACAGAAAAAATTACCAAAAAAAAAAAAACTACAAAGCAGTTCTGATGATGAGAAAGATATTCCCGAAACATTAACTTTTAAGGATATCAGACAAATATATTGATTACGTATCAGTGTTTTTGCCAAACCCTTCAATAGTAACCCAGAACTTCCCAACTAATGAAGAAAAAAACCGGTACCATTACAACCCATGAAGGGTCTTGGGTTCAGTACTATTTTAGAGAAAGCACTGTTTCTTGGTCTACGGTTATTCAAGGAGGTGATTTGACCGAGCTCACGCTCAACCGCCAGTTTTTTTCTCCTTAATTTATTATTTAAATTAAGGGTACCCACTTTGTAGAGGCTGGGTGTGCCCCAGGAGGGTCTACCTATCCACTCTACGTCCAATGAAACAGAATAAATAATTTTTCTCCCATGAGTCGTTATTCGAATCTGGGACCTTTAGCATAGGATGCTCAGTACCCTACCACTGAGCTACCCCATTCCCAAAGAAGAAAAAGAATAACTTTTATAAAAATATTTGTAATCTGCTAATAAATAAACTCTAAGATGTTGATAAAAATTTTACGAAACAATTTAAATATGTAAGTATTAAATGGAATGTAATGGTAAACCATGGAAACATTAGTAAAATATTATGACGTTTCTCCAAATAATCATCATTTTTCTTTTTGTATTTTCTTTCTGCATGTAAGTGAGGATGTTATATAATCCTTCGGACATTTTCATTTGAATTTATTAATTTGTATTTTATTCAATGTAACACGTTTTGTATTATTATATTTGAGTTATGCATACATACATTTTCTCCTTTGTATTCCTGCTAATCAGCTGTTCAATAGCCTTATTTTGGTATGTTAATAGAACCTTCTCTTTCCTTCAGTAAGTGTTTGGTTGGCTTCATGAGGTGTCTATTGCAATCTTTTTTTTATTTATTTTCTGCATATAAGTGATCTTGATTTATCTGTCCTGATGATGTCTGAAATGACAAAACGGTGGCAACTATTCACATGTTTGTTGGAGACTCGTTTTAGTTTGGGTTTTTCAATTCAAGACATAAGTACCTGTTCTACCTTTATGCTTATTTTTATTGTCAATAATTTAATTTTTTTTTTTTCGTTTCTTCTAAATATTTTAACTTTTTTGTCCTTCAGATTTTTTCAACGTGGCGGTCGGTACGAATGATTTTTTTTTTATGGATATGTGTTTCTAATGTTTACATCCAATTCACAAAAGCCAAATGCCAAGTTTATTACTCTCTCACGTTAGGTCCTTGGCAATAAAGATTTTTAAATTGGGCGGTACGGAATGGACATTTAGGAAAATGGCAGGGTGTAGGCGTTGTCCAAACCGTTGCCGAATTACCTCTGCGGAAGCGGAGACCTTCAGACCTCCCAAGATGTTGCATAGCCCATTGATTGAGGGTCTGCTCATTCTTTGTCCAGATGATTTCTCTAATAAAGGAAAATTTATAAATAATCACTGGGTGGAGCTGTTGGACTCATATCTTATATGATTGAATGCTTCGTCGGTATGTTCGACCAGAAGAGAAAGGACGTATGGTAAATTGATTATAAATATATTTCAGGGATGCCCATTCATCTCCAAAGTTGATGGTGAATGCCCACTCCTAAAAAATTATTTTGCTTTTCTATTCTTAAAAACAGTGTAACCGAAAATCAAATTAGAAAAAATGTATAAAATAT